GTATGCCAAATTTAACTAAATTAGGTGCATAAGTTGTTTTGTACTACTACTTACTTTTGTAGCCCGTACAAACAGACAAACAGACATACTGGCAAATAGACAAACAGATAAAAATTCTAATAACTACTGTTTTGAGGTTTATACTCGTATTGTGTACATAATACGATACAAACAAAAACAAATCTATCCCACGGGAACCATACGTTTTTCCGGGATAAAGAGTAGCCTATTTTTTATTGTGATGTATGAACTATATTATTGTAAAGTTTCATTCAAATCCAATTAGTAGTTTTTGTGTACTGAGCTGTATAAGTTACTATAGTTTTTTTACTATCCCACGGGAATTGTTTAATTTTCCGGGATGAAAAGTATCTAAGATGTGTACCGGGGATAGATACCACCATGCATTTAAATCGGTCCAATAGATAGTACAAACAGACAGAGAAACAAAAATTAAAAAAATAACTGGATTTGTTCTATTTCCCTTCTTACATCCCCCTGACTCGGTTTTTACCATTTTTTTCTATGTACATATTTGAACTATACAGTTTTATTTTTTAGTTATGTATAAAAAATAATTAAAAATATTGAATTAAATATTTAACATCTTTGATTATATTATTCTTTTCTATCCAACAAACTGTGATTGAGTTTACATTGGTTTGTCGGTGAACGAAAATGATAATCGCACAGCAGGTCGTTAAGTGTGACAAAAAAGGACGAAGTTGGTAGGTACCTACAATGCGCGTGATATGATTGCGACGGTGACCTGTCGTCCTTGCGCTGACATCGGCAGCGGCACTGTCAATAGCACGAGTTATCGTTATGCGAAATATTTTATTATCATTATTGAATTATTTTCAATGCATCATATTAAAAATTTCGTTTGTGATAAACGACGTATAATTTGGAAAATGTCAAAGATGATTTAATATAGCGAACTTTCTTAGTTTGTTTTAGTTATTTGGATAAATTCTATTAATAGTAGAAGATTCAAAAGAAAGCCGCCCTTCATTCATTTGCTTACTGAATGAAAAGTATTTTTGTATTAAAAATTATACGTATTAAACCTACATATGTAGATGGGTGAGGACGGCCTTACTTAAATATAATGCAATCATAAATAAAAACTTTTTAACAAAAAAATAAAAACCGACTTCAAACAAAAGCACTAAAAAGTAAACAATAACTGATTGGTAGTTTTCATTTACTATACATACCTAATCAAATATTTTCAAAGTCGGCGTGCTTTGCTTTGTATGGGCTGGCACCGATTTCGAAAATATTTGATTAGGTATGTATTTAATAGGTAAGCTTTAATTACTTAGTCAAAGCACACCGACTTCAAAAATATTTGATTAGGTATGTATAGTAAATGAAAACTACCAATCAGTTATTTTTTACTTTTTAGTGCTTTTGTTTGAAGTCGGTTTTTATTTTTTTGTTAAAAAGTTTTTATTTTTCCCTTTTTAGTGTAGACAGTAGTAGAAAAGTAAGGATTCTAACGTGTTAGGCTTGTCAAATCAAACAAAATAAGCCCAAACTCAAAGTATCTACTATTAGCCGTTGAAGAGTTCCACCTATCCACCTTCTGGCCTTGCCATCAGATCAGGTCAACAACACCGAACTACTTTACTATCAACGGAAATAGAAATACTTGCAAAGTTTCAAGTCAATATTACAATTAGAAGTAGGTTAAATTCATCATTAGTAGTTTTTCCACCCTTAGGGGTGGTATTTTTTTTGAAATTTAAATGGGACCAATCTGGAAGTATACCTTTTCAAACGACACAAAAATTGTCCAAATCGGTTAATAAATGACGGAGTTCTGAGGTAACAAACATAAAAAAGAAAAAAAAACATACAGTCGAATTGAGAACCTCCTCCTTTTTGAAGTCGGTTGAAAAGAAAGTAAGTAGGTACCCACGCAATCTTATACGATGTATTAATAATAATAATTTCTGTAACCTTTTATAAATGTATTTCTGCCTCTGGTAATAGGTAATATGCGTGATTTTTTAATTTTTATACAATAGCTAACATCGTTATATATTTGTAAAAAAGTACCAGCTCGAAAAAACTAAAATTTAATATATAAAAAATATCATAGCGATACGGATACTTTAACACTTCCGGGTAAATTTCTAAGAAATTAATTAAATTTCTAGGAAATCTATTGTCAACTGTAACGTCGGCGTGTCCGCGGTCGGCGTCCGTCATTTCACGCGCTTGGCGTAACGTCATAGTATACACAGAAAAATGACGACTCAATTTGTAGCGAGAATATCGCAAATCTCATCTCTCAATCAGCTCTGTTATGATAATACTTTGACGATTTTTATTGAATATTTGGTCCGACCAATGGCGTGCGTTTCAACTATTTTGAAATTGACACCTTTATTTGCACTTTTTAATAATTATTTTCTTAATCAAAAAGAAATTACATCAAAAATATTGATATAGGCTTAATTCAAAAGCAATAAAGATTATAAAAAAATATTTCACCTTTATTTAAATCATAATTGCATATTTCCTATTGAATTTGAAATAGGTATTTCAAAACTTTTTAAGACCAATAGAAAGAATAATATTAGTCTTTAAATGTCCGTTGAGCTTGAAATGTACATTGGATCAGGCGCGGATCCAGAGTTAAGTTTGGGGGGGTGTCATAGGCTGAAATATGCATATCATAAAACAGTAACTTAGCAAAATCTGTACATGTTTTTTTTTTTATAAACAATGAACGTGTAACGTATAGTGTACAGAATATAGAACCCCAAACAAATTTTTTATCTGTATGTCTGTTTGTTTGTGCGGATTCACGCAAAAAGTACTGATCCGTTTTTAACCAAATTTTGTGTAGTAATAACTTATTACTCGGGTCAACATTAATCTATTAATCCTTCTATTCTCAAACTTGAGGTTCTTAAAAAATATATTTGGCTTTGGGGAGGAGGGTCATGACCCCCATGACCCCCCCTCTGGATCCGCGCCTGAATTGGATAACGTCTGAACTAGTTTAACTTAGTTACCATTTTTTGTCATTGTAAAAGTTTATTAAACACCAGTAGTATGAATTTTATAATAATAATCATATTTTTTTTAATAATCGGGCAAGAGCGAAAGCGATCTTACTTTAGTGTCATACAATAGGGCGTAGACAAGATGTTGTTCTTTATGTGTTGAAAAATAGAAATCTAAAACATCTACGAGAATATGTGATATGAGTCATTTCAACACAATTATAAAAGTTTCTATTCCTCAACATTTATAGAAAGACGTCTTGTTAAGCCCTAAGGTCAACCATCATCAGTATACTTCTCGCTGGGACAGTCTGTATTGACTTACTGCTTATCAGTCTGGGGTGTGATACGGAAAACTAGATTTCTCTGTCTGGAGAGAGCCTGAAAGAGCCGTGCTTATTAAGTTATGCTTTGCAAACCAATCCTTTTTGTTACTTCCGAACTGTACACAATAGCTAAGGTGTTAGCGGTTAGACAATTGCAGTCTCTATTATATTGTTTAGACAGTTATAATCCAAAAATGTTAATACGCAAATAACTCGAGTTACCTTTTGTTAAAAATGCTATCAAACGACGGGCTGGTCGCATTTGTACTCTGAGATCTACTTGTATTGCCCTTGTCAGACATCATTATGACTATTTTTCGTCTAAAATCTACAACAAATTGAATGCACTGTTAAACATTCATTCTGTCTTACTGAGAATGCAAAAATAAAGTGACTAAGTTTTTGCAAAACCTCAATTATGATGAGACTGAAAAACTTGTTAATTTATAAATATAAACTTAAACAAAAAGAACATAGTTATAATAATAATTAATTCTACTTATCTAACCTCAAAATGTATTTTTACTAACCCTTGAACATAACTCCCCCTATGTTGTGGCTGGGTGACACAGTTGTTTATACTAATGCGGCTATTAACGATCTAACTATTTTTAATATACCTACGTGTTAATTATATTTAATAAAAATCTTTAAAATCTTTAAATTATACCAACAAAATATACTCTTTGACATTCCCCATCAAATAATTACCAACTTTAAGAAATTTTGCATGAATTGCTGTTAATAGTTTAACTATAAACTAGTTGGAAAGTAGATATCAAGATTATTACATAAAAACTGACTAAGGTACGTTTATGAGCATAAAACTTTAAAAAATAAAATAAAAACCGACTTCCAGGCACTAAAATGAAATATAAATAAACGGGGGTTTTCATTTAGAATAGATACCTAATTAGATATTTTCGAAGTCGGTGCCAGCCGATGCAAAGCAAATCTAATATATTTCGATACGTAAAATACATATTTAGCTATTAGATAGGTATTCATATCCTAAAATATTGTCAGCTTTTCATTTCTTCATTTTTAGTGTAGACATAATAGGCAGGTAATTTGTAAGAAGAAAGTTTTTTAATAACATATGTGATTAAACAATTTATTTAAAAAATATATTTATTGTTGATTGTTTTAAAAACTGCTCGACCGATTTCGATAAAATTTATATGGGACCACCTGGGAAGTATACCCTTTGAAACAAACAAAAATTCCAAATCGGTTCAGGCGTCTTCGAGTAATCGGTGAACATACATAAAAAAAAGAAAAAAAAAGATTCCGACGAATTGATAACCTCCTCCATTTTGAAAGTCGGTTAATAAAAACAATAAATTAATTGGACCCAGTTATGCAAAAAAACAGCCATGTGCGTAAAAGTACCAACAGAGTTATAAGCATTTTATTATATAAAATAAAATAATTATAAAAAATAAACAATACTTATATAAATATTGATCAATTTTAAAATAACCAGAAAAACAAAACATAACCGAAGTGCAACTATCGACAGATAAATGGTTATAACTCTGTTGGTACTTTTACGCATATGGCTGTTTTTTGCTTAACTGGGTCCAATTAGTTTAGAGAAAAGAACAAAAGACACTATCACACAGGTATAAATATATTGCTACTGGTATTACGTAGTCCTTCGAACACAGAAATGAGATGTCCCGTCCGAACTTCGAATACGCGTAGGTCGGCGCAGAGGTCGTGCGGGCGTGTCGGGCGTGGCGCGGGCGGCGCAAGGGCGGTGCAGGCGCCCCCGTGCCCTTGCCAGCGCCAGACGGTGCATGCACCCTGCACCGACTGCGACTTGCCAACTTAGGGCTGCTTCGGTCCTTCATAACAATATAATATATTATATACTTTCATTTATTGGTATACATATATGTATATGGATTTGCACGAATTTTTAATTATAGAAAAAATCGATTATGTAATATATATAATAAATTAAAGAAACGAAAACAGAAGAGTGGGTGTTGTTATGAAGTTGATAAAGTAGTAAATATTAAAAAAAAAGATGCAACCACAGAAACTTGCAACCACAGAAATCTTTTACCTTATTATTAAGATTTCTGTGCTTGCAACAAACGTGTTTCAATTGAGAGATTTCTACAGATAATAAACAATATACTTACATAGGTAGCGACAATAAGTATTACGTTTTACGAATGGAGCAATTTTAAATTATAACTTCAACAGTGGGTATTCTATGTTTAAATTAAGATTTTTTGTTTTATAAAAAGACAAGAAGTTATATTTTAAAAATAATAGGTAGTTTGATGAGTATTTTTGTCATAAAATCTATTTATTTAAATATCATATTACAAATAGAACCTCTCACTTACATATATTAAATCAATTCGATAGTAATGAAATCGATTTATTGGATATTATCAATCAATTATTATAATTTGTCAGAGGTAGCCCTGCGTGTAATACTCGGACCGTTTTTGTTCTATTTCATTTGCTACGAAAATGCATTTAAACGATACAATGATTTTTGTGATATTAGAATTTAAAAAAACACGAAAATAAATAATATTAATTTATTTAAATATCTTTCTTTAAGTAAACCTGAACATAAATATAAACCTACCTACACTACTACTATTGAAAAATATTTTTCTGAATTGAGAATGCATGTCGGTGCATTGTACTTTTATGCAACAGTTGTCTGTATAACTAATGCTGTTTTGCTTGAAGGCCTTCATAAAAGTTCAATTTTCAATTCATGTCTGACAGACCGGATAAATTTATCGTTTTGTGCATTTTCGGCCGAGTGCGATTCGTCATGTGTTATTCAAAGGCCGGGCAACTAAGTTGCAAACTAACACGTACATCTTCTTTTGATACTTATATCAAGCGACAAGCATTTAAAGAATTATGTTCTTATGTGATTCGTTTCATATAAAATGTAATAAACATGCTGGTTACAGATCTAATAATATTACTTATTCTTTCTACGCATTGTCGCATCGTCATTAGTCCAAGTAAATTTTCATAATATTTTCGTCTTTTTTTCACATTTTTCATATAGTTACACAACACACTGCACAGTCAATTAAAAAGTGCAAATCTATACTAATATTATAAAGAGGTAAAGTTTGTGATCTTGTGAGTTTGTGAGTTTGTGAGTTTGTGACGTTGTAGGGGGTAATCTCTGGATCTACTGAACCGATTTTCAAAATTCTTTTACCAATAGAAAGCCACGTTCTTTCTGAGTGTCATAGGCTATATATTAACCCGAAAAATGAAAAGGTTTTTTCATGGTAGTCGCATTTGCAAAGTAAGTCGGAGAAAAAACGGTCGAACGAAAACGTTTCTTACGAACGCTGCCTTAACGATGAGAGATATATGATTATGTTCTAGAGAAAAGTTGTAGAGCTTAATAATGCCTACAAAAAAGTCAGCGACAGCATATGTCTAACTTCTATATTTAAGTCATAAAAAGTAGTTTATATTTATATTAAAAAAATAATTTAGATCGGTAGGTCATGTTTATTGGTCATATTATCAACAGTTATGAATTCTTATCAAAATTAGTAAATTTATCGTCTAAAATGTTTAAAATAAAAGACTTTTCCCTTTTACTGCATATAATTTGGACAAATGGTTAAAGAGATAATACAACATATTCGTATGTATAGACGAACCCGAGCGAGCTGTTTATCGGTTTTTTTCTTTGTACGGGCTAATCTCCGGATCTATTGGACCTATTTAAATGAAATTTTGCATGGTGGTACCTTATATGCCCGGGCAACATCTTAGATACTTTTTATCCTGGAAGATTAAAGGGTTCCCGTGGGATAGTTAAAAAACTATAACAACTTATACATCTTAGTACACAAAAACTACTGATTGGATTTTAATGAAACTTTACAATAATATAGTTCATACATGCCAAAAACAAATCAGCTACTTTTCATCCCGGAAAATTAAAGAGTTTCCGTGGGATAGTCAAAAAACTATAGTAACTTATACAGCTTAGTACACAAAAACCACTGATTGGATTTTGATGAAACTTTACAATAATATAGTTCATACATCAGAATAACAAATAGGTAACTTTTTATCCCGGAAAAATGTACTTTTCCCGTGGGATAGATGTTTTTGTTTATTTGTAACGTATTATGTACACAACATAGACCCCAAAACAATAGTTATTAAAAAAATTGTCTGTTTGTCTATTTGCCTGTATGTCTGTTTGTCTGTTTTTGTGTGCGCGTTTCACGCGAAAAGTAATGTACCAATTTCAACGAAATTTGGTGAAGTGATAACTTATTACTCGAGTCAACATTTAGGGTACCTTTTGTATGTATGTATGTATGTTGTATTCAGCCCTTTTTAACACACGCACGGGCCTCCCTTCAGTACGAGGTGGATCAGGCCATAGTCCACCACGCTGGCCAATATCAGAGGTGCTAGACCCGGGATTTGAACTTGCTTCACTCGGTTTCCCAAGCGAGCGCGTTACCATTGGGATACCACTGCCTAGATACGTTTTACTTAAAGAAAATTTTTCTTTCCCACGGGAAAATACAATAACTGGTTCTATCGAATTGTCCTTAGAAATTTATACGGCTAACGTTGGCTCAACCTTAAGAGATAGATCAAAACATTGTACAAGAAAATTGTAAGTCTTAAAAAGGTCTAAGAAAAGTTCTACATAGTATATGTCTATCTCCTAAGGTACACTCGCTATAACTATTTTCATTATTATATATTTCTGTTTTATTATACGTTATTTATTCTATCTGAGTATAGGTACATTATATATGAATAATAAAACTGTAGAGGTCGAATGTCTGTACATAGATGGTAGAAAAAATTGCTATAAAACGAGTCAGTTCTCTTCTTACATCCCGTAAGGAAAGAAATAGAACAAATCCAGATTTTTTCAATTTTTTTGTTTCTCTGTCTGTTTGTCTGTTCGTACGGGCTAATCTCCGATACTATTGAACCTATTTAAATGAAATTCGATACTTTTCATTCCGGAAAATTAAAGAGTTCCCGTGGGATACTTAAAAATTTATAGTAACTTATACAGCTCAGTACACAACAACTTATGCACCTAATTTAGTAAAATTTGGCATGCTGATACCTTATATTGCAGGTCAAACAACAGGTTACTTATTTTTATCCCGTAAAAATGAACGGTTCCCGTGGGATAGATCTGTTTGTGCTTTTCTAGAGGTGAACCCGAGCGAAGCGAGGGTGAGCCGCTAGTGGTTAATAAAACTTTTCGACCAGGAAAATAAATATTTGACCCGTTTCGAATGCTTTATAACAATATAGTTTTACTTTTTTTTTCTTCTTTACAACAATATAGTTAAACGTCGGGAACAAAAAATCAAATTATAAATCCGTGAAAAAATCCGTAAAGATATTTTTATTTAAAATATCAAATAATATACGCGTAAATCCAAGAAAGTACATTTCTAAAAACTATTTTAGTTTAGTTGTGTTTGTTTAGTAGTTAGTTAATAGTCTATTGTCTTATGTACTTTTAGAATGCTTAGGCAGTTAATATTTCTTTAGCTGTATAAAAATATTTATACAAGAATCGCTTTTAACGATGGTGAAAACTGTAGTGATAGGGGATCAGACTTCATCATTATATTTCTAAATTTTAATTGCAAATGGTTTAACATATAAGTGTATGTTAAACTGTGTGGTAATATCTAATTACCATGAAACAAATTTTATTAAAAGAAAAACCTACAAGTTATATTGTGTAAAATATATTAACGTGTTAGCAAACACTCAAACTTCTTGTTGAAACTGCTAATAATTGTTTGTCCAGTAAACATAGGCAAATGTACCGAATATTGCCATCGAATTCCATCTCCTATTCCCACAGTAGAACATTTATTAATATTTCGTTTTCTTACCGCCATTTCAATACCTTGGGATCCCGATTCCCGACATACATTCGTTGGTTTTAGGCCCTATGTGCCCTTTTCCAATTTAACCTCAGCACGTTAAGCTTTGTAAAATACATTCTAGTTGAGTATTTGTTATACTTGTGAAAGCAAATTATTACATTATAGAACTTTTTCATTGTAGTATTATACATAAATAATATTTTTTTATTATATGCACCTAATACTAAATTTTATAATGTAAGCATAAAGTGGAAAGTTAGGAAAGCAAGTAAATAAATTCGATTCTGTTATCGAAAGGTGCCCTTAGATAAAATCTTAACCCATCAAAATAATGTTTTTATGCACATGAAAAATCATTGTAAAATTGATATAAATTTAAAAAAAAGTCTGAAGGATTGTCTCTATATGTACGTACGTACACCTTTAATAAACACTCACACTTTATGTTGTATGGTACTCATGTGTCAAACATAGCACGTCCTGCAAATTGATGTCAACGGCTCCTTGAACCTCTTCACAAATTTAATTCACAATAAGTAACAACACTTTTGTATGCGCCCGCGCACAATACCTATTCAGATTTATTGAGGAGCGCTGAATCGGTAATCGGCTATCCGCCCGGTCGCTCACCCTACATTATATAAATGCACTATAAGGATTACTTCAAAGAAGGCAAGTAATCTTTTGAAAAAACTGAAACAGTTTTTGCTGTAATTAGGTAATCATTCATGTACCTTTATTCTTAACCTACTTCTAAAAAGGAAGAGGTTCTATGTTCGTCTGTATTTTATATATGATAACCGATTTCTCGAAGACTGCATGAACTATCTTGCTACTTTAAACTGTATTTATAGGGTGGGTCTCGAGGTGTTCCCACAGAATTTTCTTTGACATAGAGTTTGCATGGCTGGCGCCGACTTCGAAATTATCTTATTAAGTATCTATAGTAAGTGAAAACCCCCGTTCAGTTAATTTTTACTTTTTAGTGCCCGTGAGTCGGTTTTTATTTTTCTACTGACTTCAAAAAAGAACATCAACACCCCTAAGGATGGAAAAATATTAATGATAATTTTACCTACTTCGAATTGTTATATTAACTTGGAACTTAGCCAGTGTTTCTATTGCCGTTGATACAAATCAAAGCGCACCGACTTCGAAAATGTCTGATTAGGTATCTATATACAAAGTACCAATTAGTTATATTTTTACTTTTTGTGTTTTTTTAAGTCAGTTTTTATTTTTTCCTTAAACAGTTTTTTATTTTATTTTTTATGCTAATCTGCACTGTATCTTTATATGAAATAAAACAGTATGTTAGCGATATCAGTACATGACATATTTTTAAAAACAATGACTGTAACGTTTTGTGAACAGAATATAGACCCAAAACAGTAATTATTAAAAAAATGTCTGTTTATCTGTATGCCTCTTTGTGTTCGCCTTTCACGCAAAAAGTACTGGACCGATTTTAACTAAATTTTGTGTAGTGATAACATATTACTAAGTCGGATCAACATTTACCTTTTACTACAGGAAAAACTTTCATTCCCACGGGAAAACACTGGTTCTATCGAGTCGTCCTTAGATGTTGTCTTTTGGAGGCTTTGTGTCGACCTTGGGAGGCTTTGTGTCATTCCTCGCAGGCGTTGTGTTATCCGTCGAAGGCTTTTTTTCGCCCTTCGGAAGTTTTGTGTCATTTGCAAGCGTTTTGTCTCCCTTCGGAGGCTTTATGCCACCTTGCAGAGGCTCTGTGTTACCCTTCGAAGATGCTCCTTTTCGCGGAGATCCTGTATTATTACCCGATGGGGATCCTTTGTTATCCAACGGAAAATCTTGGATACTTTGAAAAACCTTGGGTTTTTTTGATGGGTTGATCTTCAAGATGGTTAGCTTAAAGTTGTTCATGGGGTTCATGTGATTCTAATTCACCACCAGCGAAATACTTCATTAGAGACAAGATAAACACTACTTTTTAAAACAACATTTTAAAAGTACATTTAAAAGTTAGTAATTACTGTTTTTTATATGTCTTACAGGAATTAAGGAAAGCTTGAATTCGCTTTGTTACTGAGTGGAAACTAGGTATATAAGTCGTATTTATTATTTAACTAAAGACTAATGCAATCAATATATTTATACGGATATGTATCTATAACTACTACCAATATCTGTCACTTTTCTGCAAGGAAAGGTGCGTGACGAAGATGGTACGTTTTTAAAAACCTATAAATAAATAGGATGTGTGCCAACCAGTTTGCTACAATGCGCCTAATTGTCTACAATTAAAATTATGCGTCTCAACTTCCTATTTAAATTCTATACTGTGAATCAATATGGATTTAGAGATATAATGTTACAAGTATTTAACGTGATTATGTGGCTCATTTGGGGGTGTAAGGTGTTTGGGTGGTTAGGGCAGGGGATGGGCGGTGACGAGAGTCCGGGACGCCGGGGTCAGACGGCGGCGTTCAAGGTGAAGGCCATTTTGTCCGCCGCCACGCAGACACAACTATATATATAGTATGATGCATTTGATATTTATATTTCTCTCTATTTTTTTAAAATAAAGGCTTTTGTTAGCTTTTTATTACGCGATACAATTTTAATGAGTCCTACTTAATTTTTTAATCTCGAGTAACTTTGAGATTCTCAGTTATTCAAATTACGTAAAATCACATGAGTAAAAATATTAAAATATTTCAGTTTGCTTATTATGTAACTCAGGTAAAGGAAAAAGGTTGTTTGTAGGAACTTATATGGCAAACTATAACAAGATTTTTTGTGCTACAATCTATACAATGTTTATAGTAACTGCTGTAAAAAGTTAACGGCAATGTGGCGTGGGGTACATTACTTATATTACGGCATTATTTCGGGTAGCCATAACTTAACAGTCAAAATGATTGAGGTTTTCACGCCTCTAAATTATTTCCCCTGTCCACAATCGCTAACTATTAATACGTTTGACCCAGTCGAAGGTTCGTGCCGGTCATTCAAACAGCGTATCAAACGAAACGAGCGTGAAGGGCGGCACTAACAAACACTAACACTAGTTACAGTACTTACCTACATCTGTCCGTCCGCGAAATAATACCTGGATTTTATTATAAATTCAAACTTATTATTATTATTTTATCTTTGTTTATTACACGGGTATTATATTGAATGCTTAACCTTTTTTAATAAATAACTAGCAACACCCCAAGGCTTCCCCGCGTTCAATTGCTGGTACACATGCTTATAGTTCAGTCAAATAAGGTTCGAAATCAAACTTTGGCACTCAACTTTGTATTTTTAATATAATGTAGTTTTAATGATACAAAAACAATGTGTAAAGGTTTTAGTGTGTGCAACCCCCGGCAAGGGTTGAAAAAAAATTGTCAAAAATGTTTTTTCGCAATTACTCGAAAACGGTAAAAATTAGACAGAAAAGTTTTGATAAAAATGTGTAGAGCTTAAAATTTAACATAAGAAAAGTATCATGATTTTTTTTCCTCCGGTCCAAATTAACACACCGACTTCGAAAATATTTGATTAGGTATGTATAGTAAATGAAAACTACCAATCAGTTATTTTTTACTTTTTAGTGCTTTTGTTTGAAGTCGGTTTTTATTTTTTTGTTAAAAAGTTTTTATTTTTCCCTTTTTAGTGTAGACAGTAGTAGCAAAGTAAGAATTCTAACGTGTTAGGCTTGTCAAATCAAACAAAATAAGCCCAAACTCAAAGTATCTACTATTAGCCGTTGAAGAGTTCCACCTATCCACCTTCTGGCCTTACCATCAGATCAGGTCAACAATACCGAACCACTGTACTATCAACGGAAATGGAAGCACTTGCAAAGTTTCAAGTCAATATGACAATTAGAAGTAGGTTAAATTCATAATTAGCTATTTTTCCACCCTTAGGAGTGGTATTTTTTATTGAAATTTAAATGGAACTAATCTGGAAGTATACTCTTTCAAACAAAACAAAAATTGTCAAAATCGGTTAATAAATGACGAAGTTCTGAGGTAACAAACATAAAAAAAAACAGTCGAATTGAGATCCTCCTCCTTTTTGAAGTCGGTTGAAAAGAACTAAAACTTGAATAAATACAAAAAAAAAAAAAACAAAAAAAGTAATAACTTTGTATCCGATCCGATCAAATTTCGAATCCGGACACCTGTTGTTGTCGCTTGACCACGACGCTTATGCCCGAGCGTGCGAAATTAGCGGCCTTGTTTTTTGTGGAATAATGCGAAAGACTGCATGAAAACTCGAAAACACGCGTTTTTCCAGACATAAGACTAATCTAGATAGATTTTTCACCCTCGAAAACCCCCACATACCAAATTTCTGCGAAATCGTTAGAGCCGTTTTCGAGATTGCAGATATTTATAAATAAATAATTAATTAATAAATATACAAGATACATTAGATGTATTAACGAAATTCAGTACAAATACGTCACATTTTAAAATATTCGAGATGACGTTGATGGTGCATGCAAGCGTGCGGCGCGCCGTGCAGTGTGCGTCGGAGGTGCGGAGCGGGCAGACTGTGCGACGCGCAGACGAGCTATTATATGACGTCACAGGCGGCGTTGTAGTCGTGAGGGGACGTGTAATGAAACGGCACTATCCGTTATGTAAGCGCGCATCCAATAACAATTAGGTGCTCCGATTTCGCCTCGACGTAATTTTCTTTATTGTTTTGAGACTGACATTGTAATTAAACATAACCAAATAAGAATGAGGAATATTTACAATATTTATAATTTATTTAGTACATAAATCACACTGGGTTATACTTAAAGATTTAAATACATATTAATAATAAAAATCAAAACTGTAGACAATTACTATTGCTATTATCAAATAATTTTGTTCCATTTTTTTTTAAATAATAGATAAAACATAAGAGTAAATACTGTACGTTATCTCATCTGTTCATATATAATTCGAATATCTTACCTACCTAGCTACCTATCTTACTCTTATCTACCTATATTATACTATCCTTAAGCTACCTAGGACTAACCTAGCATTTTGGTTTCTACTTTCCATCGATAGACCGGTGTGTGTTGTGCGATGTTTCCCAAAACCATTACCAGGGGGCAAGGTTAGTAAAGTTACAAACAGTACTGCAAACCATGCTACACCAAATGACCGTCTATATCTACGAGTACATATTTCGAATTTTTAAATCTAGCCAGAACGATTGTAGTTTTTAAGATACTCTCATAAGTCGCAGACACATGAACGACATGCATAAAAGTAATTTCCCATAACGATGTCATGGGGAATGCCGGGTCGTGTGTCGCATTTTTTTCCGTTCTGGGCGGCGTGAGTCAGATGCGAGTTGCTGCCGACGGAAATGACTCCTTCCTCCGCGCTATCGGCCGGCACTTTTGTTAAATTAAAATGGATGAGGTTTAAAGTGGAGCGGCCGTAACTAACGGTTGGCGCGTCGTCTGTCCACGATTACGACAATCTGCTTCACGGTAAAAAATAGGACGTCGAGCGACGCGTGGGGTCGCGCTCCCTCTTCGCTCGTCCTCGGTGCGACCTATTAAAGAACACAGCCGCAAAAACAATTCTATGCAATACCTATCTTAAAATATGTTTAAACTATTTTAATGGTCAATATATAACTAGTGACTTACGCTCGCTTCGCTCGGATGCGTCCCTAAAAGTACGTTCATATATTTTAAAGAGGAATAATACATGGTTTTCATATAACTTTATTGGTATCATCGGCGCATTTCAGTAAAACTCCTAATCGACGTGTTTTTTTTGACATCTTCAATAATCATCATCATATTTAGACAATTTACACAAAACTTTAATGAATTATACACCTTAACCTTCCTCACGAATCACTCTGTCTCTTGGTGAACACCGTATGAAAATTTAATTACAATAAAAATATGTATGAGAAATAAAAACATCACTAAATTTTCACCACAAAACACTGAATAACTTTAAATTATAATAAAATGGAAAAGATTCTCAAATGATCACAATAAAGAATAAAATATTTCTGCAAATAAATTCATAATACATATTATATTTGGTCAGATAACAAGCTTATTTATTATCTAAACCGTAAAATGTAAAAGTATGCATAAAATGCATGCATGACATCATGTCGTGAAAGTACGGTCTTGTGAATAATAATGAGTCGTAAACTTGGTATATGGGCGATGGAACGCTTTATGAAGATCATTATTATTTTAAAGCTGTACTTACATCTAACATTACCAGGCGCGAAATTATTATAATCTAAATTTATATTATGATACTATAAACATTATTAAACATTATTATAATTAATGTAATTGGACTACTCATTTCTCAATACTATTATACTTAATACTTAGTAGAGCTCTAAGAAGTATGCCCCACTTCTTATGTTGGTCGCCCGTATCATCATATGCTTAGTCTGCCTAAATCATCAACGCTCTGACCAAACCACGGATTTTGTATGTATTGTATGTCTTGTATGTATGTTTTGTGTGTTTGTGTGATAGTTTATTAATACCCAGATGAAACTGCTGGTGGCAATTTATGACAATTTATTCGCATAAGAAAATGCAGGTTTACGCTTCAGGCCCCTCCAGTGACGTCAACAATATGTACTATTAAACGGCTAAACAGTGATCTAAACAAAATTTATTCATGGAGTACGTCTTATGGGCTGCACGTTAATCCTGTCAAGTCACAAGTAATTATTATTGGAAGCTAAAAGCTTGCCCCATGTTCTCAATTGATCATGGCAATTCTGGCTTAGTTTACAGTAACGCCGTCACGAATCTTGGATTATATTTCAACAACTCCTCAACTCCTTCTCCTGGACTGTGCAAATTGCAGAGGTACCTAAGTAGAAAGATGTTTGCTGCGATAAATTGCTAGAGGCGATGGAAAAATCTATTACCTATTAAAACTAAAACTGCACTAACTTATTCACTACTGCTACCGATTTTGGATGCGCTACGAGGCTTGTGTTATGGATACCGGATAGTTAATACACTACACATATATAACTTTAATAATACACAAATGAATCCCCCCCAGCGGGACTCGAACCCGCGACCTTATTAATATGTGCATTAGATTTATATTTGATTTACGTAAATTCGATCATATCTCCGATTACCGTACGATTACTAACCGATATTCCATATTAACCGTTACTAATAAAAAATCTCTATCTTTAAATATAATTGGTTATATTCATAAATACAGCTTTCCTCAATATGGGTTCTCATATAAAGTAGGCTTACGACGTCTGATGGCTACTGTCTACAAATAAAAAATACATAAGCAAGCAGAAGGGTAAGCGTAAATAATTATTAGATTTATTTGTAATGTTCCTTCCAGTACAGCTAACGTTAAATTATTTCATACTAGCATTGCCCGCGGCTCTGCCCGCGTTCATATGACAAAAAATATTACATAAACATATTAGTATACTCTTACATTGCAGTTTTTGTATTTTTTCTCAGAAATGAGATATTTTCCCGCGGTAAAAAATAGGTATCCTATATGTTGACCCGGATAACCAGCTATCACCATACCAAATTTCATCAAAATCCCTCCATTGGTTTTTCCGTGATGCGGTAACAGGCAGACAGACAGACAGACAGACAGACAGACAAAAATTCTAAAAACTATTGATTTGGCATCTGTATCGAAAATAATGTGTATTTTAATAAGATTTTCCGAATAATATTTAATGTACAGATTCGGCTTGGTTACAATTTTATTATATGTATTGATATAAAATTGCATTATATTACCTATTGTGTTAAGAAAACGTTATTTAAACTATAAAATGTATTAGATTAGTTTCAGCATGTGTAAATTGTCTAGAAATTGTCTAAGTATATAAATTTCCATAATGCAATTCGTCTAGACTGAACAAAGTGCTTGCGCCTAGAGAAGCACCGTCTGGAGGTGAACCGAATTACGAGTAGTTGCAATGCACTGCACTTTATTTGCCGCACTATATCTGTTTCATAAAAGAAGTATGGCGTATATTTATCGTTATCTCTTAATAAATTATATTTATTTATTTATTTATTTATTTATTTATTTATTAGATTCACCAGTGGTTAGTTACAATAATACAATTTATTTTATACAAGTACAATTATTTTAAGTTTTTATAGCTAATTGCACTACCTTTTAAGGTGAATACCACATGCAAATTTTGAGATTTTATAAAATGTTAATATTATATCTATTTTACAGTACTAAAATTACTATTATAAAATATTAAATTAAATAAATAATAAAATACACTCAAACAATTAAATAACACACAAAAATGGAAAAAGATTACAATTCGAATTAAAAAAAAAAAAAAAACCAGGAAGAACCACAAAATAAATTATAGGTATTTTTTTACTTTTTTTTGGAACATAGGCAGCGTGTCTCCGAATGGATCCAAGGTGCTATGATTATTTATAATATTACAAAAACGTGACAAGGGAGAGTGATTACCTAAAACAGATCTGCGAGAAGGTGCTACGAGAATGCTGATCGGCTTTCGTGGACACCTAGGCACTTTTAGATTAAAAGATGATATTAGTGATGGATTGTCATATATACTGTTAATAGTTTTATATAAGAAACTTAAATCCAATATATCTCTTCTTTTTTCTAGACTAAACATCTTAAAATACGTAAGCCTTTCTGTATAAGTTGCAAGTGATCTAGATTTGCCCAGTGAGAAAGCCAGATGATATAAAAAACGCTTTTGGAGCCTTTCAATTCTCAAACAGTGGGTAGCATAATGGGGTCTCCAGACAACACTTCCATACTCCAAAATACTCAAAACTAAGCTTTTATATAGAGTAATTTTTGTTCGAATATTTTTAAATACCTTACAATTTCTGATTACGAACCCTAACATTTTACTTGCCTTACTGACAATACTATCTATATGTGGTACAAAAGTAAGTTTTTTGTCAAATAGAATACCTAAATCTCTGATAATATCTACTGTACTCAAAGGCATGTCATTCAAATAATATTTAGTACTTATATTTGTTTTTTTCTTCGTAAAGGTTATGTGGAAACACTTACTTGAGTTCAATATCATACCATTTAGCTTACACCAATTATGCAAGCTAGTCAAATCCTTCTGTAGTGAATTAATATCATTAGGATTATTGATAGTTTTAAGAAGTTTGAGGTCATCTGCAAACATAAATGGCGTGGAGCAAGAGAAGCAATTTGGCAAGTCGTTTATAAAGATATTAAACAGGAGAGGACCTAAATGCGATCCTTGGGGTACTCCAGAAGTAATGCTGCATTTTATAGATTCGAACCCATTAGCCACGACGTAGAAATGTCTGCCAGTTAGGTACGATTTCAGCCAATTCAGCATGGAATTAACAACGCCATAAACGGATAGTTTGTAGAGTAGTATAGAAATAGGTACTAGGTCAAAGGCTTTACTCAAATCAGTGTAAATGACATCAACTCTATCCCTATTGTCTATTGCATCTATTAACAGTTCAGAGAAGTGAACCAAGTTCGTACATGTTGACCTACCAGTAATAAAACCATGTTGGTGAACGCTAAAGAAGTGTTTGAAATGACTATAAACTCTCAAGTAGACAAGAGACTCAAGAATTTTGCCAAACAAAGAAAGTATGGATATAGGTCTGTAGTTTTTAACACTATTTTTATCTCCACTTTTGAACACGGGAACGACCTTTGCAACCTTCCACTTAGTAGGAAATACTCCAAATTTAAGGGAGTTGTTAAAAATTATTTTTAATGGTTGTGCAAGTTCTTCAGCACAATTTATTAAGTAAATAGGCGATATGTGTCAGGCCCGGCTCCTTTGTAACGATTGATATTTTTCAATTTTTTAATTATCTCATCACGGTCAATTTGTATACATGATAAGCTACGACTATCGAATTCATCAAAAGTTATATTATCTAGAATACTACCATAATCGTAACGCGAATCGCTATTCTGCATATAGATGGACGAAAAATTTGACGCAAATAAATTACAAATACTTTCCCCATCAGAAGCACTTTCGTTATCACTATTCATTTCAGATGGATACGAATTGGCACTGCTTTGTTTTTTGCGTTTCATGAATGTCCAAAAAAACTTAGAATTCGAAGTTATCTTATCCTCAGCAAACTGAATGTATGTATTATAACATTGCAACGATAGCTTGTCACATCTTTTCTCTAGCAACGATAATACTACCTCATCCATTGGATTTTTGTATTTTTTGTATCTTACTCTAACGGTTTCTTTTTCCCTGATACGTTTAATCAGAGTTTTGTTAAACCACGGAGGATACTTAGAATTACGCGCAATTGGTATTTTTGGAATATAAAGGTCTATCGACTTATAAATCACGTCATACAAAACATCTACCATCTCATTAGTATCCTTGCACTCCGAAAGCTTGATATTCCAGTTTACATGAGAAAGGTAATCGTTAATTAATTTGAAATTCGCTTTTTCGTAACTGTATTTGACACCTGAATCTTTCTTATTTAAAATTGGGGTAGAACTTTTTTTGACACTCATATTTATTAGTAATGGTGGATGTAGTGGATCAATACGGCTTAGCGCGGTTGTTGAGGAATCAACTAATATTTGTGGTTGATCATTATTAAAGAATACAAGGTCTAAAATTTTATTTTGACTATTTTTGATGCGGTTAATTTGAGTGAAATTGTTAACACAGCAAAAATCAATCAACGTTTTAGCCACGTTGGACATACGGAATCCGTTACAGAGATCATTAACCAAGTCCCAGTCTATACAACTTAAGTTGAAGTCACCGACAATGAGTGTGCTTAAACTTTTTGTTTCAACAATACGGTTAAAATTATCTATAAAATTACTGAGTAACATTTTATTGACTGGTGGAGGAATATAGGCTGCACAAATTGCAATTTTTTCATTTCTATTTAATTCTAAGATGATCCACAAGTCTTCACAACTACTTTCCCAGTTTATCATTCGTTTTGAACTCAATTTATTGGAAACTGCAACTAATACCCCTCCACCGTCCTTTTTTACAGAGCTGGTTAAATCTCGGTCTCTTCTATAAACATTGTAGTTATCGCCAAATATTTCTGAATTATAAATACCACTACATAGCCAGGTTTCCGTAAGTATGATAAGGTCATAGTTATTACAACAAATATTTCTAGATAAGTCATGCGTTTTGGTTCGTAAGCCTTTTACATTTTGATAATAAATATTTAACTTATCGAATTATACAATGTTAAACATAATTTCATTCATTTTAAAACAAAAACGTTAAATTAGTTTGCTTAAATAATCCATACTCATAATCACTTTATAGTCGGAGTCATCCGTTTTTCTCATAAATATCCTTCCATTGCGTACCCAAACATGCTTGTAATTCAACTCCTTAGCTTTACGTCGCGCAGCCGCATGAAGTAGTTTGTTCGTAGATGATAGATGTTCACAGACGTAAATAGGTGACTTACTTCCACCAATACCGAGGTGGGAAGTGTTTAATTTATCAAAAGAATTATTTTTATTGAATTTTATTACAGCTGCTAAAAGATGATCACGTATTAAAGGTGTGCTAAGTTGAACTACTATAGATCTTGGTCGCGTAGATTTCGTATTAATTTTAGCAATACGGGTACAATGAGAAATACTGCTATCACCTATATCATACCCGACGGTCATTGACAATTGTTTTACAATGGAGATTAAATTTTCATTTTTTGATTCGGGACACACTGAATCTCGATGTTATTAGACCGGGCTTGTTGTTCCATTAGATTCACTTTGTTAGTAAGACTCGCTACGGTGCTCTGAAGGGATTCATTGTCCTGTTTCTGTTTATTAATTATGTCAGAATACGTGTCAATTTGCTTCTTCATGTCATCATATTGGGCGCTCATAAATGAGATCGAGTGCTGTAGGTCCTCAATTTTGCTGTCAATACTTTTTAAGTAAGAGCTGACGGTAGAAGTTATAGTTTTGTTGATATTGTCTAATAAACTCGACATTTCCTTTTCAAAGACTTCGTTGACAATAGAACGTACTTGATCTAACGTAATGGTCGTAGATGAGCTAGGTGATGTTGGGGAACTCAAGGCCTGTCTTTTATATGATCTTTTAGTGACGTTGGAATCGTTGACGTTTGTATTGGACCGATTATTAGTGCTTGAACGTATAGGCGTTTCATCATTATTACATTTCTTGGATTTACTACACTTCAAACAGTTCCAGTTTTTTTGTATTCTTGTGTTTGAGTTGATGCCCAAGCAGCCATAGTGATATACGTTACAACATTTTGAACATTGAATATAATCATCTTCATTTATATCTGCGTTGCAACATCCCCAGGAAAGCTGCCTGTCGGCCATTTTTTACGTATAAATTAATTAATTCACTAATATACAACGTAAAGTAAAATATATAATTTATAAATTTATTAAATATATAATTTATTTATTAATAAACTCCTTTGAGATTTAATTTATTTATTGTACTTATAACAAGGATTTTTTGATAAATCCCATATGATTTAAATATAGCTTTTATCTATTAATAATTTGTAATATTATAACGTGTTGTAATTTATAACAGTAAAATTTACGAGTTAAAAAAACAAATTTTTAGAAGAACAGCTGAATATATATATATATATATATATATATATATATATATATATATATATATATATATATATATATATATATATTATATTCCTGGTCTATAAAGAAATTAACTTATGAGATTGAGCATATTTGTTTTTTATTTTAATTAGGATCTCCAACAAAAGATACACACAATATACAACATCATATAAAAACAAAAAGCAAATAAGACTTACAACACGTGTGCTCCTTCACTTATAGGAGACCGCAGCATGCTCAATAATGTATTATAAGTTATAACTAAGTTTAAACTAAGAAAAAATTAACGTAGGTACATTTCTAAAAACTTATAGAGATACAAAAAAAAGAAACAAATCATATTACAATACATTTAAACATTTCTACTAAAGTTGCGATAAGAATTTAGTAAGACTATTATTAAATTCAAACATATTAGTGGAAAAGATATCTAATTCAACATGTTGTTTAGAAAGCATATGGTGGAGTCGTAGTGAAGGGAGGGCTCGTCGCTAGTGTACCATAAACACGACCTAAATATTTTTTGGTACCTAAACAAGGTACCTACGTGTAAAGAAATTTTGAAACATCATAAAGAATTCGCTTAATTAATAACTTGGCAGTCTATTCCCATAATGATACACTAGATAACCACTAAGAAAGGATTTTTAATAACCATCCCTCAAATCATAGGGTGTCAATTGTGATACAAATTTGTATTTTTTCTACACCTTCACAAAAATAATTGTTAGCGTTGCATGTTTTAATTTGTTAAGAAATATAATGAAAGGCATTAAATAGGTAAATATTAAAACATCGAAATAAAAATACGTTAGAAGAAAAAGAAGTTACGTAAGAGTATTGCATATATTCGTCGGTATAACGATTATTTAACTGACGTAAAGTAATTCAGTCGCTGAATGCCTAGACTGCCTAGTCTAGACGTTACATGCTGGAGGACAACAAACGAGGCGTGGAAAACGTCTAGAGGTGAGACGAAGGCCTGCTGCCTTGTAAATGCATCGTCATTTCAACTAAGTATTCTTTGTTACAGCCAATGCTATTTAAACGCGTACCTTTTTATTATACTTAATTTATTATTTTACGATATACCTATTGAAAATTTTAAAATTTATGTAATGCAACACTTGTTGGTATATTCTCCTATAGTCTAAGAAAACAAAGCAGTTATCAATTGTAGGATATTTTTAATCTTAAAATGCTACTATTACACATCCTAGCGTTAGACTACATAGGTGTTAGGTATGTACATCTAAATATTATATTCTAGTTTATTACGTAATCTTTTTTAATAATATATTTTTATTGATTAAACTAACTGCTTAAGACAGACGTATTTTTTTAAACATGTTTATTACCATTTAAATGAAATAAACTTCCTAATTTTCACCCAAGTAATTTAGTGACGCTAATGCTAATAGCTATAATTTTCTTACCTTATTAATTATTGTCAGAAACAGTCGTCTGTCATTACAATGCCTTTCAACGCACGTAATAGCAGTCTGGCCATGCCATTAACAAAGTAGAATACCTATAAGTAGTGTCTAAAGTAGCGGTTTCCATTATTTTTGTCACGGAACCCTAATTGATCATATTATTTTGAACGATTCCCCATTTTGTAAATAACTAAACAGATTATTTTAAATAAAACTACCTTTTCGTATTATTTCGTGGATTTATTTTGATTTTTGGTTCCCGACGTTTCGAATACTTTACAGCAATCATAGTCACGGAAGAGACTAAGGTTATAGACGTCTCAAACACATACTTGTTACAGACAGTGCCTACCCAATATTTTACAAAAATGATTGTAGAACCAAAAATAATTAACATAACATGATAATAACATTAAATAAATGGTACAAGTTACGAAACCTTTGTTCTCTCTTAAAATAACTATGTCGAATGCGGTTGCCTATAATACGAGTACATTGATAGGGTGTGATATAAACGCCTAGTCTAGACGCGGGGGTGGGCGGAAAAGGTTACAGCACTTTGTGGGAACGCACCGAAAATTCTACGACCTTTTCACTTCAGCGCAGACTCCTGTAAAATTGGGTCACGTTTATATTCTCGCTTATAGATTTATATCTGGAACGTGCTACTTAAAATGTTGAATACGTCTGTGTGCGCTAAAAGAACGGTATTAAATATTTACTTACATTTAACGAATTTGAGATAGTATTTAGCTATTATCATGCAGATCTCATATATCGCATTTATTTTATTTCGTAAATCTACAATGCCTTATTGATACATAAGTACAGTAGTATGAAAGTAATACACATGTTTCATTAAAATAGCCATATAATGCTACCATGGAATCAATGGAAGAAAAATTTACAGTACTTAACATATTGATAGTGATAAATTAATATTTCTTACTTCTTTATGATTATGTAAAACTAAAAGATAATGCTCAAATAATGAATAAGGTAAAGTAAATAGTAAATAAATACTCCAAGTTCCAGTTTTCAATAAATACATGAATTTTATTTGTATGTACCTACGTGTATAATATAACTATTTCAATCTAATATATTGTTTTATTCTAGGTTATGTTGACTTTGTAGAAATTATAGCCATATTTGACTTCTGCGAGAGGATGTGGGTTTCATTCCCCTACTCTATTATTGTTGGTATTGTCTCTATAGTTATTTGCAATATTTGGAACAGGAAAAAACTCAACATTTTCTTTTTTATTACACTTTTTTAACTTTAAATTTTCTTGTTACATCCTAAAAATAATTTAATCATACCTAAATAAAATTGCAGAAATTCTTTTTCAACCGACTTCAAAAAGGAGGAGGTTCTCAATTCGACTGTATGTTTTTTTTTTCTTTTTTATGTTTGTTACCTCAGAACTCCGTCATTTATTAACCGATTTGGACAATTTTTGTGTCGTTTGAAAGGGTATACTTCCAGATTGGTCCCATTTAAATTTCAAAAAAAATACCACCCCTAAGGGTGGAAAAACTACTAATGATGAATTTAACCTACTTCTAATTGTAATATTGACTTGAAACTTTGCAAGTATTTCTATTTCCGTTGATAGTAAAGTGGTTCGGTGTTGTTGACCTGATCTGATGGCAAGGCCAGAAGGTGGATAGGTGGAACTCTTCAACGGCTAATAGTAGATACTTTGAGTTTGGGCTTATTTTGTTTGATTTGACAAGCCTAACACGTTAGAATCCTTACTTTTCTACTACTGTCTACACTAAAAAGGGAAAAATAAAAACTTTTTAACAAAAAAATAAAAACCGACTTCAAACAAAAGCACTAAAAAGTAAAAAATAACTGATTGGTAGTTTTCATTTACTATACATACCTAATCAAATATTTTCGAAGTCGGTGTGCTTTGGCTAAGTAATTAAAGCCTACCTATTAAATACATACCTAATCAAATATTTTCGAAATCGGTGCCAGCCCATACAAAGCAAAGCACACCGACTTCGAAAATATTTGATTAGGTATGTATAGTAAATGAAAACTACCAATCAGTTATTTTTTACTTTTTAGTGCTTTTGTTTGAAGTCGGTTTTTATTTTTTTGTTAAAAAGTTTTTAAATATCTCGATTGAAGACAAAGTTATGATAATTTTCGAATAAGTTTCAAAGTCTTTCACAGAGGACGTCGTTCAACACAACGTCGTTGTATAGATTCTACAGAACCTGCGCAGTTAACGGCAGTATGAACTATATTACCTATACCTACTACGCCGTAGCGTTTAGATTTACGTCATAGCCAGTGTCGGCAGGTATCCTTATCACTAATGATCGCAGTTTTTAGAACTTGAAATTGAATCAAATGTTTCTACTAAAAAGTCAACTCTACAATTCTCATATTTGTCCATGCAAAAATATTTATATATACTACATGAATGCATTTTTACTAATACTGAACGAATACTTTGTATCAAAAAATAAAAAAAATCATAATCAAATATATTTTATGTTAGTTTTATTATAGAAAAAAATATTAAAATATAAGCAAAACTAAATTTTATAGTATAATACATTTTTTTCTCAAGAGCCGCAACAGACCAACATGCTCGTAGTATAGCAGGGATGACTACACAGAATGGGCGCTAACTAAAATGTTTGATCGATTTCTGTTGTTATCATTTGTATCTAGAGAGTGGTCTGTTCCAAAATAGACTTAGGGATTAATTTACTATCAGTTTTAAGATTGTCATTACAAAAACTGTTATATTATGGAAAATTCAAATCAGCCTATTACTGGTGTTGGGATTCGCCGCGAACCATCTATAGATCCAGTCAGAGCTCAAGGAATCCTGTACGTTTTTTACAATATACATATTCGTAGCATGAAACCAAAATAGTTATTTATACTTATAATCAGATTACTATTATATATTTAAAAAATTGTATGTGTGTTGGCATGTATGTTTGTTAGTCCTTCATGCTAATAAGACTGGACGGATTTGGATGCAATTTACGTACATAAGTAGATAGACTATGAGTGCCTTGACTCTATCTCTATATATACTCTATATACACTACTGTTTGGCACATTGGGACGTAGCATACGAAACCAGGGTAAGTCGCTAGATGTAAAATTTTTATTATAATTATTTGATGATTGAAGAAGATGAATACTTTCTTATATTTACGCGAATATTTGACATTTTGAATAAAACTATCTTTTCGTAGATTTATTTTGTTTTTGTGTTCCCGACGTTTCGAATACTTTACAGCAATTATGGTCACGGGATAGAACCGCTCTAAGAAAAAAATCCGATTTAATGAATAAATATAATACTTTCTTAGATTTACGCGAATGTTTGACATTATTAAATAAAACTATCTTTTCGGATTATTTCGCGGATTTATTTTGATTTTTGGTTCCCGACGTTTCGAATGCTTTACAGCATCCATGGTCACGGGAGAGACTGAGGTGTTACATGTCTTAAAGATATAGTTGTTATGGATGCTGTAAAGCAATAGAAACGTCGGGAACCAAAAATCAAAATAAATCCGCGAAATAATCCGAAAAGATAGTTTTATTTAATAAATATATTTAATTTAGAACATCGGTTAGCAAAAAAGAGAAGCATGCAGCGCGTATATGGCAACAACGATGGGGATTCCTCAGAAAAGTACGAGAAGTACAAGAAGAAGAGGGCCAAAGATTAGGTATAATCTTTTGTATAGACTTTCTTTTACCCGCCGTTCTTCTCGGTCATAGCGTACTGTTGGATGAAACTTTTATACCATACTAGCAGTTCCAAAATTCAGTGCCAAAATTCAAAATTTATAAATATTTAAGTAATAAGAGGCTCTTAAGCTAATGTTTATCTTAGGAAACGAAATTGGATAGAAGTGGCTTTAAAAATATTATGTCAATATCTAGGCAAAGACTACTTGACGGAATTCGATAGAAACTAGCATGGTTATTACCTAATTAATACAGATGTCATGATTAAGGACACTTTTTCTCCCAGAAAACAAGGAGTTTCTAATCTTTATATAAAGTAGGTTAGTTGGTATTTATGTTTATACTGGGTAAGTACATTTTAACTGTTCGTATAGAATAGACTATATATATATATATATATATATATATATATATATATACATATATATATTTAACTGCCTCGGTGGTGTAGTGGCTAGCATGTACGGCTGCACACTCGGAGGTCCTGGGTTCGAGTCCCGGGTCGGGCCAAGTTTAGTTATTGAGTCTTTCTGTATAGTAAGTCTCAGTAACAGCCCGGAGTTGGGAAGTTGGTGATGCTTCACCCCCGTGCCTCGGAGAGCACGTAAAGCCGTCGGTCCTGCGCCTTAACTCTCACCGGTCGTGTCGTGCAGTCGTCCCACCGGAGTATGAGAGTGACAGGAATAGAGAGTGCACTTGTGTCTGCGCGTACACTTGAGCACTATAATATCTCCTGCGAAGTTGGCTACTCTCAATGAGATTGGCCGCCGTAGCCGGAATCGGCTAGGAGAACATCATCATCATCATCATATATATATATATATATACATACATATATATATATATGTATATATATATATATATATATATATATATATGTGTGTGTGTGTGTGTGCGTTTTTACTGGGTAAGTACTTTTAAAAATGATAAAAATATACATATATCCCCTTTTTGCACAAAAACTTCAACACCCCGACCCGCTTAAGGGATGATTTTCGGGATAAAAACTATCCTATGTCCTTCCTAGGTTCTCAAACTATCACCATACCAAATTTCAACATACAGACAGACAGAGTTACTTTTGCATTTATAATATTAGTATGGAGTATGGATTTGACTAGACTATATTCTTGCTTTAAAATAATAACACAAAGTAATTTTTACTTGTTAATCAATAGGTATGTCATTTGACGAATATCGTGCTGCTGTTCGTTCAGTTAGCTGCAAGCCTGAAAAGGAGATTGCTGTTGAAATAAAACCGTCTCCAATGCCACTACCTTCTACAAGTTCTGGTATAAAAAGTTACCTAACAAAATTAGTTTAAAAAAATTGGAAATGAATAAACACTTAAAAAAACATTTAAAGAAAATTATTTTTAAATATTTTTTATTATTACTACTAAATCGGATTACGATGTGGATGATAAATGAAAGAGTGTGTGTGCGAGTGCATGTATACCCATGTTTGGCACCTATGGACGCACCCGATTGAAGCGATAAGTCTCTAGAAGTAGGTACATAATGTAAAATGTAAATGTACATTTTAAATAGGGCCGCCTCCTCTTTAAAATGGGTCTCTAATGCCCGATTTCACCAACAACCCATAAGCTACCACCTACGTATGGGATCCTTAGCTTAAAAGTCCCTTAAACTAGACCCTAAATTAAATTTCGTTTTACGATCGTCTTTAAGCCCATATTTCGAGAACCTAAATTTAGGGGGCCTTTTAATATTTAGGTGACCCCTAACTGTCGGTGAAACAGAAACTGTCCCCTAACAGCCCCCTAACCATGTTAGGGGATCCCTTAAACTTAGGTGACGTTGGTGAAATCGGGCATAATACTCGCTAATTTCAGGTATTATTGGACGCCGTGCTCTGTGTACACTGGAAAGATTTGGGCCTTCAGTGAAGACTCCTCGCGACTACCCGATTAGGCCACCACTACCGCCTGGACAGGTTTATAATCCATATAAACAGACTATTTTGTTTTTGGGGTACGTAAATCGTCACTAAGAATCCTACTGTTATAAATGCGAAAGTTACTATGTGTGTATATTTTTGTTACTCTTGAACAGCTGAACCGATTTGGATTCAAATTCAAAATATTTTATTCAGCATTAAATTATTACAATTTTTTACTGAACGTCATGAGTCTCTACTACCAGTTCGGAAAGAAGAAGCTTCAGACCTGAGAAGAACTGGCGAAAGAAACTCAGCGGGACTAATATTAACTCTACTACTACTAAGAATAAATTTAGACACAGGTAGACCATGAGATTTAGTGTATCCCTATTAAAGTCTTGGGGGTTTTTGTATATCTATTCTCATACAAGCAAAATATTTATAAATAATTGTACTAAATCAGTTTGCAACTGCAAATTATAGTTTTAAGAATGATTTTAAAAAACGAATACCATATTAATCATGATATTTTTTCATTTTTTTATATTAACGTTGATCGATTTTAAATATCGTGGTATTTAAATTGTTAAATTATATGTTAATACAGGAGTGTAGAAGGAGATCCCATATCATACAAATTGGCGCCGGCGCGTTCCGATGTAACAGACGAGATGTGGGCGCGGCCTCAACAGCTCGACGTGACGCCATTTGAGCTTGATAAACTGACAGATAAGCAATGCATTTAAACTTACTAAAGTATCTATATATTATAAATTAAATGGATGCGCTGAGTTTGTTTGTTCGGGATAATTTTAGAAAGTACTGCATGGATTTTAAGACGATTTTCATCAATATAGTGATTATCTTAAAGATAGGGATGGCTTTAGTTTAAGGATGGATTTTCATACGGTTTTCACTAAAAAAGTGATTGTCTAAAAAGGTTATAAGGCTATATTATGAACATATTACGAAAATAAGCTACTACTAGCATAATGATATTTGTGAATTAAGTTGAAAAAAATCGTCACTTCAGAGAATTTTCGTATAGTTATTAAAATGTATAAATATATTTATTTTTGTATAATTATAATATTTATTTTATATATTTTAATATTAAGTTATACCATTTAATACTGTACTGTACTTACACTAAATTAACTTATTTTCTCACTTCTGAAGGGTTTGTGGAAGAAATCTCCTAAAGACATAAGTTATCCTTTATCGACATTCTGTTGCTTTATTTTGTGTAACATATATTTTATGGTACATAAATAAATAAATAAAATAAATAAAGCGAACTCGAATCTAGTGTCACTAGTAATACTTATTACAAAAAAAAACTATTTAATTTTATGAATTTTGTATAGATAATCCTATAATTATGTTGAATAATTTTAATTTAGATTTACATCTTTGACTTGAAAAAATATACTGTATAAAGTTTACAAATAACTTTTAATTATAAAAATAAAATAACAAATTACATATGTCTCTTAGAGGCTACCATCAGTGGCAGCTGAGATACAATATTTTCTGGTAATATTTCTAACGTCACCGCTTCATCGTCGCCGAGCCAGTGGAAGCCCGCTAAATACTGTAACAAACAATTATAAATAAAACTATCTTTTCGATTTTATTCGCGAAATTATTTTGATTTTTGGTTCGCGACATTTAGAATGCTTTGCAGCAATTATGGTCACGGCCCACGGCAGAGACAAGGTTTTAGACGGCTCAAAGGTATCATATAGTTGTTACAGACAGTACCTATAAGCAAAGTTATACAATATAAATAATTATTACCCAGCGTTAGCCATATACATTTTATTTATTTTTTTTCGTTAATTTTTCATTTTTTTCTTTCATAAGAACCTTCTCCTGACAATAACAAACACAACAAAAAAAATAGTTAAATCGGTCCAGCCTTTCACGCGTGATGGCGTGACCAAGGGAAATAGGGATTCATTTATATATATATATATATATATATATATATATATATATATATATATATATATATATATATAATATATTTATTACAAAAAATCAAAAATTACAAAAAATAAATGAATTTTAACATTTTTGTAATTTCAATAAGTTTTAAAATCACATATTAATATATTTTTTTTTTGATTTTTTTAACCTTATTAAATAATGATCTTACTTAGTGTTATTATTATTATAGTTAAGTTTTAACGTTTAGTATAGATTTCTCAGAGATGAGATATTTTCCTACAGTAAAAAGTATCCTATATGTTGACCCGGATAACCAGCTATCAGCAAACCAAATTTCATCGAAATCTGTCCATTGGTTTTCTCTAGAAATGGTCACAGACAGACAGACATATAGACAAAAATTCTAAAAACTATAGATAGATTCGACCTCTGTACCGATAATAATAATGAGTATTTTAATATTAAGATTTTCCAAAGAAATTATTTAATGTACCAATTCGACTATTTTATTATATGTATAGACTTAAAAAAATTAAAATATTAATTACGCAATATTATTGTTCTATGTTTAATTTAAAAATAGTTGAAAATTATGAAATATTAATTTGGTTTGCAATTATTTAAAATCGAAATATTAATTTGAATTGCTAATATTTTGATCTTACAGTAAGAACTAACTACATTTAACGATTTGTTATGTGTACTTTTGGTATCTGATTTTATTATATTAATAACATGATCCCACTACAACGATAGTGTAGTGTTAAAAGAATACTTAAAGTATTTTAGTTAACATGTTTAAAAACCTAATTTTAAGAAATAAATATTTTTTCGTTCTTTTCACTTATTCTGGTATTGTAATCTAATACAGTACATATGAAGTTAGAAGTTAATCCTAATTAACACCAATAAAAATATATTATTAAAGGCCTTTCATTATTGAAAAATGCTACATATTCCTGCCATGCTATCTATCACATTTTTTTGTTGTGTATAAAACATAAAATCAAGATACTTTAATTTTATAAAATACATATATAATAGTTTTTATCCCAATTTAACACTAATTTTGGGTATACGCAATAATATAATTATTGAATACGAAAAGTTTCACCCACATTTTTGCTGGTTTTAGTTCTGAAGACAAACAATAATAACTGTCTAGATGTCACAACTTTAAAAAGAATATCTTTTAACTATATAAGATATTCAGTTATTTTTTCATAGAACACAGTGTATATACTAGTAAATAATGATAACAGCAAAAAATAAAATATTAGTAATATGGGGATCTTCATTCCTGATACTTTTTTAACTGTCTTAAAAGTGAAATGAATTTGACTTTCTATATAAATTTACACGGTTCGAATATTTTATACATGTAATACTTTCTTAGATTTACGCGAATATTTGACATTTTAAATAAAACTATCTTTTCGGATTTTGTCGCGGATTTATTTGGATTTTTGTTTCCCGACGTTTCGAATGCTTTACAGCATCCATGGTCACGGGAGAGACTGAGGTGTTACATGTCTTGAATGTATAGTTGTTACAGACAGCCTACCCACAATTAACAAAATGAAAATTGCACCAATTACATTACAATATTTTTTAACTTTAAACATTTTTATAATTTTAATTATAATTGAATATGGAAAATTATTTATTTAATTTTGCTATTATTTTTATAATTATTACAATTTTAAAATATTAATTAGTAATCTATATTTAGTGTTGCCATTATTATATTTATAACCATAAAGAAAAATATAAAATGTAGTATTAATTATTAAAGCCATATAATTGTTCTATGTGTAATTTAAAAAGTTAAAATTAATTAAGGATAATAATTTTAATTTAGTTTGCTATTATTTAAAAACAACTTACTAAGCAACACTATTAATATATACTTTTACAAATGAAAAATGAAACGTCGGGAAACAAAAATCCAAATAAATCCGCGACAAAATCCGAAAAGATAGTTTTATTTAAAATTTTATACATGTGTTAAAATATATGTATCTATTATATATTATAATTACCTTTATAGGAATTATCCGAACTCCTGTATTTGAGTTGCCACTTTTGTTTTTTCTTTTAGGTGTTGGTTCATCCATGTCAGTCTGAAACAGCCATGCAAAAATGATATAAACATTTATATTTTAAATAAATTCTCATTGAATATAAATTGGAAAAAATAAGAAAAGATTAAAATAAAATATGTAACATATATTAATATTATAAAGTCATTTATTTCAAAATTGGTTTAAAGATCAAAATATCTGACAACTAATAGACAATAAGTCAGAACTGTTACCTGCTGTTAAATAAGTAGTTCTATAAAATGCTATGGTAAGTTCTAAAAACAGTCATTAGTACATCCAGGCACAATCTATACATGTGTGTGAACATTTGTGAATATGGATGTTTGTCACTCTTTCACGCCAGAAAGGCTGAACGGATCTGGACGAAATTTGGCACAGAGATAGATTATAGTCTGGAATAACACATAGGCTTTTTATGCTGGAAAAAATGGGATAGGTTTGTTGTTTTCCTAGAGGCGAACTTGACCGAAGCAAGGGTGAGCCGCTGGTATATCCTAAAGCTACAATTCAAACGCTCATGCTGAATGTCATGAGTTTCTGGGTATGATTTCTAGGTCGAGCCAAGATCTTGCGAGTTTTTGTGTCTCGGTGTGCACCTAAATAAAGCGGTCACTCCTACGATTGATCTCTTCCTAGTCGAATGGAGTAGAGTTTGTATGTATGTGTATCAGTTACAAAAAATGTGTGTACACGTGTGTGTATTTGTTACTCCTTCACACTGAAAAAGCTGGCTTTTTTTTACACAGACTATGACCTGGCGTAAAACATAGGTGGTTTAGACTACAGTTTGGCACTTAGGTCGCTAGTAGAACTATATAAATAACTAGTGACTAACTCTCACTCCGCTCGGGTTTGTTCCTAGTTACATTTTAATGTTTAGCTCAGAGATGAGATGTTTTCCCGCAGTAAAAAGTATATGTTGACCCGGATAACCAGTTATCATCACACCAAATTTCATCAAAATCTGACCAGTGGATTTTTCGTGATGCGATCACAGAAAGACAGACAAACAAAAATTCAAAAAAACTATAGATTCGGCCTTTGTATCGATAATCATGTCTATTTCAATAATATTTTCCAAAAAATATTTAATGTACAGATTCGGCTTAGTTAGATTTTTATTGTATAACTAGCGGCTCGCCCTCGCTTCGCTCGGGTTCGCCTCTAGAAAAGCACTAATAGAGATCTATTAGTTCCCATGGGAACCGTTCATTTTTCCGGGATGAAAAGTAATCTGTTGTTTGACCAACAATATAAGGTATCAGAATGTTAAATTTTACTAAATTAGGTGTATAAGTTGTTGTGTACTAAGCTGTATAAGATACTATAGTTTTTTAACTATCCCACGGGAGCTCTTTAATTTTCTGGGATGAAAAGTATCTAAGATGTTGACCGGGGATATAAGGTACCACCATGAAAAATTTCATTAAAATCAGTCCAATAGATTCGGAGATTAGCCCGTACAAACAGACAAACAGAAAGAGAACCAAAAAATTTGAAAAAAAAACTGGATTTGTTCTATTTGTCTTCTTACATCCCCCTGACTCGGTTTTTAACATTTTTTTGCTATGTACAGACATTCGACTTTTACTGTTTTATTATAGTATAGATTACCTGCACATTTTTATCCAATATCCATAAAGCAGCATCGTCTTGACACACAAGCGCGGCGCGCGCGGGGTGCGCCGCCAGCGCCGCGGCGGGCGAGGCGCCGCGCGTCGCGCCGGACCACTTCGACACCTTCTTGTTTACTAACTCGTACTCTATTATCTGTTAAGTTATAATACTTTCTTATTTACGACTAGCGACTCATCCTCGCTTCCCCAGGTACATTTTATTTTTTTGAGTGGAACCCTAATTCTTTTACTGAAATAAAAGTATTCTAAGTTACTCCTTATAACATCAACTACCTGCCAGTCAAAATCCCGTCAAAATCGGCCCAGCCGTTTCGGAGATTAGCCGGAACAAACAGACAGACAGACAAAAATTTTAAAAATTGTGTTTTTCTTATAAATACCGTATATAATTCCATATTCATTTAGTAAAAGAAAAAAAAGCTGTTATTTTGACATTACAAACAAACACTTCAATTTTATGTATCTGTAGAGACGAGAATATTTGACATTTTTTAAATGATTTTTTGCGGTTACATTTTGCTTTTTATAAATATAAACACCCACGACTGGAGTACAAACATTCGTGCTCATCACACAAATGAATGCCCGCAGCGGGACTCGAACCCTCGATCGCTGACACAGCAAGAAGGGTCACTACAAACTGAGCCAAACATGTCGTCATATATCTTTTTATATTGATATATTTTTCGTCGCCAATGACATTACGAAATAACACTCGTGGGATGTTTTATCTCGTGTGTGGCAACGAGTACAATGACTTAAACCGTACTTTTTGTCCAGAGGGTTTCCTAAAACATTCTTGTTATTTTCATTATTTACTTAAGTTCTAGCATATTAGACAAACCAATGGAGGTACAGGTAATATATCCTATATATGAGCTCCACTATGTACATGTAACAAATTTTTCTTACCTTTTGATCGACATATGCAATTAATAGATTTTCTGTTTTGCTATCAATTGTCAAGGCAGACGGTACACATCTGTATTTGGGTAATGAGACGTAAAATTCGATTTTTTTAGATTTTTTTATCCAAACTGCAATATCGCCCTCGGTGTCAGCTACCACTAAATATATTGCATTTGATGGCGTGTCTTTTGACACTAGCAGATGTAGTACTGATTTTGTTTTAAGATCTAAAAAATAATAAGATAAAAATTAAAACAAAATTTAATAAATTTTTCAAATATTAAAGAGAATACAGAATTAATTATTATATTATTTCTATTCAAAAAATAAGTATTTACTCTTTATTTCCTTATCTATTCTCATGTGAATGACATATATTTTTTCAGGTTAGGGAAAGATAATATTTTACTGGGATTCAAGTCAAAGTAATTATTATTTATCAACACGGTTTATCCCCTTGTAAAATCTATATATATTTATAAATAAAGTAGACCTTCTCCGTAGTACTTAATTACATATGTTATAAAATATGGTAGACTGGTAGTTCCTGAGATATACGTTCAAATAAACGTAATAAACGTTTAAATAAACAAACAAACTAAACAACAAACATAGCTTTTTAAATATTGGAATGCCTATTAATTAAGAAATATATGAAAACAACAAATTATTATTAGAAAATACAAACATTTATCACATGACACCGTCTGCACAACTACGGCACCCGCTTCAGGGTCCACCTGCAGTACTTTCACCTCTCCGGCGCTGTACGCTAGCATCGTGCGCGAGTCTGGTGTGAACGCTACACGGTCACAGCTTGTGATCCCCGTAACTACCACTTTTGATAGAGACACGTTACTTGTGTCATCATCCTGGAATAAACATAGCGAAAATACATAATCTTTGAGAACATTAATACTAATATTTTCCTAATATGGGTTAACTGGAAAAAAAAGATAAGTCCACCTATGTCATTTCATTTAATAAAGTATCATTAGGGTGGACACTTATGTAATGCTCGAATCTGAACTGTTACATTACAGGCGAATGAGAGCCTCCCTCTAAGGAGTTCCAACTGTGACTAATGATTAGCGCAGATGATATTATTATTGGGGTGTTGTAGTGTGTGCGCAAGCGATCTTGCAACACCCCATTACACTGCGGCGACGGGTTCAGCTGTGGGTTTTAGTGAGTAGGAGTCTCACAGTACCTTGTCCGTTGACGGTCGGCAGGGTCCCCGTGATGGGTTTCCTCAGCGAAAAAAAAGATGATATTATTATGCTCAAATAAGTGTAAAACAGTGTCAGTCAGTGTAAGTCCGAAGGGACGGTATCTGACAAGACCGGTGTGAAAAGAGAGTAAAACGCTGCCAACTTCGCGACACAGGGCTGTAATTAAGAATTTGTTTGTAGAAAACCCCAATAAATATACTTAGTCCGATACGGGACACAAACAAACTTGGACATATTCTGCTATATAGTATGTAATTTCCTATCTGGGATAATGAAATCACTTCATTAGGTAAGTATCCCATGTCACGCTAAGACTATACATAATAAACATTCAATGATTTCTGTGCTGGTATTAGTATGCACAACTCACAGGCAGTCACTAAACAATTTTTCGTTTTCCTTTCCACTGTTTATCTCCCAAGACACCCCACCCCCCACCCTCCTAACGTGTGTTCACCATGTCATTGTAGAGGGGCTCATTAGGGCACATTACATCCAGCAATTCGAGTGTTGCTCCTGGTACTTTACTGATAGCGGAGGGGACTGTGGGAGCAACCCCATGGTCATTATGGTCTGCTTTGGCAAGCCAGCCGTGGGGGCGTCGTGGTGTCAACCTTGCGACGCCCCATTAAAACAGGAGGTTCTGTATGTATGCAGGTGGTATGCCTAAATGCATATCCCAATGTTAAAAAAAGGCCATAGTCTATCTGTATACTAAATTTTATCTAAATCTGTCCGTCCCTTTCAGCAAGATAGAGTAACAAACAAACATACATACATACACCCACAAAACTTTCACTTTTATTATAGTAGAATTATTACTTACATATTCAAATTTCAACATTCTAATGTTACTGTCCGTAGAGTAAACAATTAATTCTCCACTGGGTGAAAGTTCACAGCATTTGATCTGCTTTTTTCCTTTAGTTTGTAATGACACCAGTTTCACAGGTTGTTCTGTTAGTTTGAGATTTTGTTTCTGTTTTCCATTTTCATTGTTCACTTTATTTATAGCATCTAATTCTGTATCTTGTTCTAATATACTACTATCATCTTTTTGTTTATTGTTTTGTTTTACATGGATATTTGAAATAGTCACATTGCCTTTATTATTAACTGCATATGAACCTAGCTTCCAAACCTCAAGATAGTTACTGTACCTGCAAAGAAACAGCTGTTAAAATAAATAATTTAAGAAATAATAATTTTAGTACTTTTAGTACATTTGTAGTAATGTTAAGTCTGTCATTTTTGTCATGTATTTGAAAATAATTATAACTTATTATTAAAAAAAAAGTTGTTATTTCTCAGTTGGTAATACTTAAAAGTATTAATAATTTGGTTAATTATTGGAAAATTCAATAATTTACTGACATATTTTTTGCAACTGTTTGTTTCTTGTTTTAGAATTACCTCAGCAGTAACAGTTTTTTTGAAGCACATACTGATGATCTGGGAGCTGGTATCATATGAGGAACTCGCATCACCCATTTTGGAGGGTAGCTTGAAAGTGTTAAATAACCATCTGTCCCAACTGATATAAGTTTGTCACCATTTAGGACAAGGGCTCTGTAAAAAATACAAAGTAAATAAAAGAAAAAAACACTCTTTTGTGTATGAATTATTGCATCTTAAAGATTTTTTATATAGACATTACCTAACATCATGTTCATGTATATTCCTTTGAACATTTTTTACCCATTGGGAGGTGCTTTGTTTACCTAAGCTACTATTATTAACCTTGACAAAATTAATAATAACTGGATCTACACCACTACAATATATACTCTTTTCATCATCAGACACTGCTATAGACAATATGTTAGACTTGTGGGTTTTGTATGATTCAATCTGAAATTTTCAATGACATATAATAAGTTATGGAACTTGCGAAAACAAAAATATGTACGTAAGTCTTTAAATGTGTAACAATGCTCAAATATCGAGATCTCTCAAAATTAAGTGATAAACATGGTAAATATCCTATTTTATATCATCATAATAATAAAAATAAGTATACTTGAAAACATAACATAAAAATACCTGATCTCCAAGGGTACTATCCCAAAATGTGAGCCTTCCCATACTATCACCTGACACGACTACATTATCTGATAAAACTGCAAGACACCACACAATAGTCTCTTTTCCTCTACGACTTACAGAAATTCGACAAGTTGCATGACCAGTTTCAACATTCCATACTCTTATAGTGTCAACAGAGCCTGAAATTAACAACAATACAATTTGAAAGAGTTTACCATCATTTATTTTACCACCATAAATTTAAGCAGTTAACTTTGTAAACTAGAATTTTTTTACAAACAATATTTTTTAAAATATTTGGCTACAATGCATTTAATGTACTACTATGATTCTGCAAGAACTGTATCTAAATTGTTCGCTCATCAACTAAGTAATATCACTCATAAAATATTTAAACCTATTGTCAATAAAATATATTGAATAGTTTACACATAAAACAGAATATTATTTTTGATCAAATTACTCCTAAGCAAATATTTTATAAACACCACAATTTAATTTGCATAGTCACAAACTTAATGATGACAGTTATACAGATTTTAGTACAAAATATTTATTTTTAAATTTTAGGTTATTTATATATTACCTGTTACTAATACAGTGCCTGTATTATCAAATTTGCAACACATGATTCTGCCTTCTTGCTTGTCAAAAATCTTTTTGTACACAATCTCATCATTTTCAACAGAATATAAATTTACATAGCCCTGCTCAGTTCCTACAGCTACTAATGTATTTGTAGAATTAACATCAAGACACCAAGCAGCATAACCAGTTAGCATGACAGATGCTTTAACGGAAAGAATTTCTAAGTCCCACTCCAGTAAAGTACCGCCCAAGCCTGTGGACAGCAGTCTTTGGTTCACCCAGCCAAGTGCCTCAATTGATGCATTAAGTGTTCCTGGTACAAACTTTAATAAATATGGAGCATAGTTTAAGTCCCATATTTCAATAGAGGCATCCTGTCTACAACAAATAGGATATGCAACAATTTTCATAAAATATTTATATAATAATTTATAAGTACTTAATTGAAATTATGATTAACTACCTGGCTAATGCTACAAGTTTACTTTTTTTGTTAAAAGAAACACAGTTTATTGTTTCCGGTTTTGGATTATAATATCGCACTCTATGAATTTTACATGCCATTGTTAATTTACACTTAAGTTTTATACAACTTTAGTTAATTAAATAGTGAGTAAACTTTAAAATTTAAATACACATGAACTCAACATGTGAGACAATAAGCGTGTTTTTGACATTTGACATTTGAGTTCCCAAATTTGACATGTGACAATAACATTTCAGCAAAGAACTGAACTGAACATTTCATTCAGTCCTAGCATATTCATCTTTGGTCCATTTAGTGGGGAAGATTTTGCCTTTTTTTCCCGCCAGATGTCGCGATGACTATGGCCCTCAGTATATTGTAAAGCTCTGCAGCGTGGATGGATTTTTTTTCATTCTATTTAAAATTTAATAAAATAACAAAATTGTGCAGTGCCAAGATGCACTGAAAATGGATATCATTTGTTCTCAAAAGATAAAAAATGAAGAAGTTGTGTACTAAAGCAATAAGGCGACCAAAATTGGTGAAATCATAATCTTTATATTTAAGGCTGTGTGGACATCATTTTAAAGAAGTAAATTTAAAACTCTTAAATCGTCTACAGATAAATATATTTTTTTTGTACTTTTTTACATATTAATTACAGTTTCATACAAACCTCTCATCACCCTCCCCTCTAACCCTTTTACCTTATATGGGATTGAATTTCAAAAAATGCTAAAACACGTATTTATCTAATTGTATTAAGGAGCATGAATACTAAGTTTCAAGGCATTCTGATCATAAATAATTCTTTGCCAATATAAACTTTATTACCTCCTTTTATTTTTTACCCCTTCAAGGTATTAATTTCAAAAGCGTGTTTTTGACATTTGACATTTGAGTTCCCAAATTTGACATGTGACAATAACATTTCAGCAAAGAACTGAACTGAACATTTCATTCAGTCCTAGCATATTCATCTTTGGTCCATTTAGTGGGGAAGATTTTGCCTTTTTTTCCCGCCAGATGTCGCGATGACTATGGCCCTCAGTATATTGTAAAGCTCTGCAGCGTGGATGGATTTTTTTTCATTCTATTTAAAATTTAATAAAATAACAAAATTGTGCAGTGCCAAGATGCACTGAAAATGGATATCATTTGTTCTCAAAAGATAAAAAATGAAGAAGTTGTGTACTAAAGCAATAAGGCGACCAAAATTGGTGAAATCATAATCTTTATATTTAAGGCTGTGTGGACATCATTTTAAAGAAGTAAATTTAAAACTCTTAAATCGTCTACAGATAAATATATTTTTTTTGTACTTTTTTACATATTAATTACAGTTTCATACAAACCTCTCATCACCCTCCCCTCTAACCCTTTTACCTTATATGGGATTGAATTTCAAAAAATGCTAAAACACGTATTTATCTAATTGTATTAAGGAGCATGAATACTAAGTTTCAAGGCATTCTGATCATAAATAATTCTTTGCCAATATAAACTTTATTACCTCCTTTTATTTTTTACCCCTTCAAGGTATTAATTTCAAAAGAATTTAATAAATATATTTCTTATTTTTTGCTTTATTCGTAAACACCACTTTCTATGTATTTTTCATTTCATTTCACTTTAAGAATGACAGAGTTTCATACAATCTTTAATCTCCTATTTTAGCCACATAGGGGATTAATTTCCAAAAATCCTTTCTTATCGGATGCCTACATCACATAAAGAATATGTCCACCAAATTTCATGTTTCTACGACAAGCGGTTTAGGCTATGTGTTGTTCCATCTATCAGCCAGGACCGCCGCAGGATGCACCTCTCCTACTCAATTCTTCGTTCAGCTAATCTAATTTTCAAGTACATTGCATAGGTAAGATGCGAACACAATAGGAGCAAAAACCAGCTTTAAAATAGCGTCACAATAAATTGCTTAGCCCCAGGCTGAATGTAAATAGGTCGTAAATGTGGCGTCTTCCTTTTGAGAAAACTTCCCCATTGGAAAACTACCATAATTTCACAATATACTCTGAGGATCATAGTAATCGTGACATCTGGCGGGAGAAAATGGCAAAATTCTTTCCCATTGAAGATTTAAATCTTTTAGCTTTTCCGTTTCATTATTTAGTTATCTGTGAGCTAGTTTTTTGCGATGGTAGTAAAGCTGGTATGTTAATTTTGGTCGAAAGAATTTCTGATTTGTATAAATCCTATTTACATATTGTGCTGCTAAATCTTAAATATAATTATGGGTGACGGGCAAAGTGAAAATCAACCACTTTTAAGGGATGGTAAGTAAATATCATTATATTGTTTTGACAGCTGATGATTCAACCAAAATTTATTTGTATTTTTTGTTGCTAAACAAAGTACTATAAGAAAGATAACCCGATTAGCGCATAGCTAACTCGACAACTTTAAAAGATTATGCAAGTTTAAATGTTACTTGAAGTGTTATAGTTACAAGAGTTACGTATTGTAGCTATCTTCACGTAAAGTATTGGATTTTTTTTATAGAAGAGGAGAATGTCAGCACAATCTCGCCGATTGGACCTGACGAACTGCCTCCTCCATATCAACAAGCAGGCATGCCGATGGTAACATGTCGTGTCTGCCAGGCTATGATAGATATATCGGGCAAAAGAGAACAGCATGTTGTAAAGTGTTCAGATTGCAATGAAGCGACAGTAAGTGATATGTCTTGTTTACACTTCAGTCATCTATTTAATATTTTATTTATTATTATGTAGGCATTAATGTAGTGATTAAGGATTATTATGCACTTTTATAAAGAATAATAATTTATATAAATATAAATTGAAAGAAAATATCAGAAATATTCAAATTGTAAAATATTAAATGAGCATATTTTCACTAAGTATGTGCAATATAATATTATTAAATCAATTTCTTATTAAATATCACTTTCAAACCTCTTTATCATAGCACTGTTATGTATTAAGTATTATCTAAGAATTTCTTGTTATACAAGTTTAATTAATTTCTGATGCAATTATAAAAAAGTTATTTCCTATTCTTTGCTTTCTAACACTAACATTATCATTATTTTAAATTTGTTATATAAAAATTATCTACAATATATTTAACACATTATCTAAATCTTAAATGTCTATTGAATAGATAAATTTAATTTATGCACTTTTTTAAAATCAAATTCCCCTTTGAATTGTTTAATTCAAATCCAATAAAAACTTATTAGAAGCATCTAAGCAATTCAATCATATTGTTATCATGGTAAAAATGTTATTTTTCATTTCTCTTTATTTGCTTGTGAAATACTTTGTAACTTTTTTATTTTATTAATGTACAGGGTTATAGTTTTGTTTTACCTATTAGTTAAAAAAAGTAAATATTAAACACTATAGACTCACCCTCGCTTCGTTTGGGTTCATCCCTAGTTTGCCTCCCATATAATCGTTCATCCCCATTCTCACCCCCCTAAGAATATGATTTCCGGGATAAAAACTATTTCACTCACTCACTTTTCATATTATCATGAGATTTAAAAAAAACTTATTTTAGTAACAAAAATGTTTCTTTTAATTTTCTTCTATACAAAACTCCCTGAAAATAACAAAAACAAAAAAAAGAATTATCCAATTTGGTGCGCAAGTTATGCGCATACATACATTTCGGTTATTCAATTTTATTTATATAGATAAATATATATTAATATAAATAAATGTATATTATAAACACCACATAACTTTTTTGGATTCAGAGTGTTACTGAACAAAGTGAAGCCAGGTACTATTTAATAAAAAAATGTAAATGCTGTAACTGTTATTGTATTTAAATTTTGAATAATAATAGCTAATGTTTATAATTAATGAATTTTAATATAAATTAATAATAAAAAAATACATTATATTTTTAGCCTATAAGAAATGCACCTCCTGGTAAGAAGTATGTACGCTGCCCATGCAACTGTTTGCTGATATGCAAGTCCTCGTCGCAGCGTATAGCGTGCCCTCGTGCAGACTGCAAGCGGATCATCAACCTGGCACCCTCACCAGTCACACCGCCGGTGCCTACTTTGCCTGGCATGTGCCGGGTCATTTGTGTACATTGTCAAGATACATTCTTAGTAAGTATACATGCTTTTTTTCTCTATATATTTATGTGAATGTGTAATATATGGCTGCTGTTCATAGCTTTAAAGGGCCGGTTGAATATTTTATTAGTACAACAAAATATATTAATTTAATATTAATATTTTATGGCCATTTTGATTTATTAAAAAAATAATTCATATCATTGCCTAATATATATAACGAAGTGAAGCTACAACAACTACAACACTTATAACTTGTGAACTGCTGAACTGATTATTATGATCTTTGTTTTGTTGGATTTGTCTTCACCCGAAGTAGCAGAATAACTATTGAAAAATCGGAAAAATTCACGAAAAAAATCTATTCCATTTTTCTATTCTATACTAAGCGTCAAAACGTACCTAGGGACAAAAAAAGTATTACCAGACTTATCCAAAGATATTTCATTAAAATTCCCAAAAATATACTTTTGGAAATTTGAAATTTTAATCACGTATTTATTGAGTAATTTTCAATAATACTTGCAAATCGCCAGACAAATTTACCGGTACATGTTCAACCGTAGAGAGTGCTTATCTGCAGATGATTGCACTTTGACGAAAACACATAAAATTAAGTGTGATTAAAGTAAAATGTCATTCCATACTTAGTTTGCTATACATCAATAATTACCATGTGCAAAAAGAATTTTTAGATGAAACTACATTAAAAATGTACAGAATAGGAAAATCTAATTGTTTTGTAGGTATATAATAGGAAATAAGATACTGATAATATCAAGGTGGAGGACAACATGAAGATAAATAACATACATATCTACTCCTGTCATTTGATCTGGAGAACTTATCGATCTACTATTATAAATACGAGAGTCTGTATGTGTGTGTATGTTTTTTACTTCTCCACGCAGATATGGCTATTCAGATTTGAAAGCAGGGATAGACTATGACCTAAAGTAACACAGGTTACGGTTGGGCACCTAAGAGGATTGTGAAGTGCCGATAACCGGCGCGAGTAGATTTAAAAAAAAATGCTATCAGCTGTTTCTTATCGTTCGCATTGCCAACCCGTATAGTGCGATAGAGGGAGTTTGCAAGTCTTAGAGGCAATTACCTTACATTTCCTTTTTGAAATATTGTTTCGGGCGATAACGTTTTCACCCCCCTAAACATTTACGAAATGAGACAATTTTGGTCTCATTAGATTCAGTGCACCTTAATCTAGGTCTGTTCGTTTCTTTTTTAGGATTTCAGTTTAGTTTATTTAAATAAAAAAATAAAGAAACGCTCGAGGATGTTTTTAAGTAAAAAATATAGATATTTACATGCTAATAACTTCTATCGTAGGCAATATTTCGTTAAAATAAAAACTTACGGACCTAGTTCTTCATTATATGTACAACATTTCCAAAAATTATGAAACTAAGACTATGTTTATGGGGAGAAAAATTTTATCGCTTTTTGTATGAAAATTTTAAGCTTCACAATCCTCTTAAGAACGCACCGAACGAAACCAGGGTAAGTCACTAGTGTTAGTGTATTGAAAAGGTGGTTTTAATTTTTTTGTAATGTTTTAACATTAAAAAAAAGATAATCGGAATCCCATGATTAAAATCTTTTAGTCAGATTAGGACTTTTAGTAAACTAAAATTAAATTCTAGAATAATTTTGTTTATGGGACAAAAGATTTTTTTTTTGAACGCGCTAATCCATGAAACTACCAAACGCGCTAATTCATGAAACTACTAGTTCGATTTGATAAAAAAATATCCCATTTACTATATACTATTTTTGTTATTGAATAAAACTATTGTGTAACATCACACTATGAACTTAGAAACGGTGGATAAATTATACAGAATAATTAAGGATTAATTTAGTAGTATCGCAGAAATCATACAAAATAACACGCGAGCAGAGCCGCGGGCAGTAGCCATATTTTTATAACGTTAAAATATAATAATTAATATTATTTTTCAGTCAATAATCAGTTTAATATCTGTAACTAGTTTCCTAATCGAGTTAATATTGATATCAAAACAATTTTCATCACATATGAATGTTTTATTATGTACTAGCATTGCCCGCGGCTACGCCCGCGTTCAGGTGACTAGAAACCAAATTCTTAGGTTTTACATATTACTATACTCTTACATTGCAGTTTTCGTATTTTTCTCAGAAATTAGACATTTTCCCGCTGTAAAAAGTGCCTATCCTATATGCTGACCCGGATAACCAGCTATGACCATACCAAATTTCCTCAAAATCCCTCCAGTGGTTTTTCCGTGATGCGGTAACAGACAGACAGACAAACAAAAATTCAAAAAACTATGAAATCAGCCTCTGTATCGATAATTATGTCTATTGCAATAAGATTTTCCAAAAAATATCTCATGTACAGATTCGGCTCAGTTAGAATTTTATTATATGTATGTATGATGTATAAATAATTATTAATATTTTTTGTTTGCTTTTCCTATTGTTATATCTTAGCCGCTCAACCGGTCGACGACGTGTAAATTCAACATGCCAATAGTTTGTATTAAGCAACAGATTATTTTGTTCGCATTAACCAGTTTGGTGAATTAGAAAATCGCTATATATTTAGCTTTTATATAAGTACTATACCAATACTGAGCGAGAAATGCCTTAAACAATAATTTAAGCAAACGTAATATAAATAAATATCCTTTCCTTTTAATTTGTTATATATGAAAAGTATTAAGTACAGTAATCTCAAATCGATCGCAATGGCGCATAGCCTTATTGGATTTTAAGGAAGTATGTCATTGGTAACCGACCTTTGGAAAATGACACCCTTGACATACAATTGTCGGTTTTAGTATGTATCCTATCCTGTATTTAACCTACTTCTAAACGAAGTACATAATCAATTCGACTGTATGTTTGTTGTTTGTATGTTGGCCAATTGTGGGACGTTCTTGAAGTGAAACTTCTTTAGAATCTGGGTGAAACTGGGTGAAACGGAAATGCGATACTAGAAAGGGACAAACACATAAGTATATAAGATTAAGCTGATTAAGCGTGAGAATGCGGTAGAATACATTACACAGGAAGTGAAAAATAGTACTAAATAAATATATTAAATGAAATGTAAAATATCTTTTAAACATATTAAAAAAAACTAAACTCATTACTTATAAAAATGAATATTTATTACTGTGGGATGAATGTGCATAAATTAAATAAAAGCTGCTATGACTAATTTTCGCCATGGTAACCGTCTTGGTAACTTGGTATTGTCTGACAAATATATAATACTAGCGGCTCACCGTCGCTTCGCTCGGGTTCGTCGCTAGGTACGTTTTAAATAGATATAAATAGTTATTACCCAGCGTTAGCCATATATTTTATTTTTAATTTTTATTTTCGTTAATTTTTCAATTTTTTCTTTCATAAGAATCTTCTCCTGACAATGACAAACACAACAAAAAAAAAGTAGTTAAATCGGTCCAGCCCTTCACGCGTGATGGCGTAACCAAGGGAAATAGGGATTCGTTTTTATATATAGATTATATTCTTTCCGTATATGATATTTTATAAATATATGATTGTAATATGCCTAATATCGTTTAGACCACATAATTTCTTTTTCCTTTACTGCTACGCCGCGCCGTGTTGAATTTCATTATTTGCTACGAAATATATATAGAGAAGTCTCTTGCACCTCGCGTCACTAGTATTTTTAAGGTGCTTCTTGTTCCAACCATTTACATGAAGTAAATGACTTTTTAGCTAAAGTAATAACATTTTGTAAAGTATGTAAGGCTCGTACTAAATGTATTATTGATAGGCACAGCCTATAGTGTAACGCCCGAACCCAATAACCTATCTCAATCCATTTTTGACCATCTGAGATAGTGATCTTAATACATTTGTTACAAAAAGTGTGCTAATAACCAATCGACGGATTGTAATAGCTATCTGTCGATACAAGATATCCATGGGAAGTCAAATCGTTGTCTGTGGATAGACCTCTCTATGATGATAAGAGGAGTAGGATTTGATCCTCATTCGGGGTCAACGTTTACAATTATTTAACCCAGCCCTGAGCTCCTTTGCTTATTCCACGAGCGAAATAATACAATCTAATAAAGCTTCGTGACTTCGCATGGACATTAAATATGCCTATGCGATTATGTATAGCTCATGAACGAATTAACCACTTCGTCCATGGTATAGCTATATTGTTATATACCATCATTTTAACGAAATAAATCATGTAGCACTTTTTAACTAATCATAGATATCATACATTACAATCTACATACATACATACATCTTTTAAACTAAAAATTTCATCAAAATTAGCTCAGTAGTTTAAGAGTCAAAGGCACCTATGTACCATATAATAAATATTTTTTATATTAACATTTGATCTACCGACACGCTTTAGATAGTGATTTATAAAAATACTAGCATTGCCCGCAACTCCGCCCGAGTTAAGATGACTAAAAACCAAATTCTTGGGTTTCACATATTAGTAAACTCTTACATTGCAGTTTTCGTATTTTTTCTCAAAAATGAGATATTTTCCCGCGGTAAAAAGTATCCTATATGTTGACCCTGATAACCAGCTATCACTTATCCTAAATTTCATCGAAATCCCTCCAGTGGTTTTTCTGTGATGCGGTAACAGACAGACAGACAGACAAAAATTCTAAAAACTATAGATTCGGCCTCTGTATCGATAATAAAGTCTATTTCAATAAGGTTTTCCAAAAAATATTTTATATACAGAATCGACTTAGTTACAATTTTATTATATGTATAGATAACATGTTGTTCATTGTTGTTCATTTCAGTATCAGCAGTTGAAAAATGCACCGGTTCGATGCCCGCATTGCCGGAAAGTATCGTCGGTGGGACCGAACATGAAACGGATGAGAGGCATACTATTCCTCGTACTGGCTCTCATTGTGTTCGCAATCGCTCTAGGAGTCACTCTGGGAACACTCTCCGTAGCTAAAACCCATGGTGGCGGCATCTATGTAGCGTATGTAGGCGCATTCTTACTAGCTTTCGTTCTAGGCAGCCGCGCCGTATATTACTTCGCAATGAAAGTCAGCACCATCGAGGGTCCCATGTAAACCTTCGGTCTACCGGCATTCGGTTTTTGTGATAGTATGACTAGGTAATATCTCGATTCCATATTGCATTATGTATACACATATTATATAGGATTTATTAGATATATTGCCTAACCCGTTATATTGTAGGATAGTGTTGGTTTTCAAATTAACTTTGACATAATGAAGGTCTGACAGCCGATACTGGTAGATGCATTATATAAGTAAATATTACGTTTTACGTGTTGACTTTTTGCTGGAATATCAAATCGGTGAACACACAGTAGTACGCATTCCGAAATTAATGATAATATTATTTAATTACTACATAGTACATAGGAACGGTGTAGATAGTATTTGATATTGTAATTTTTGTGATGTGTAACATTAAAAGTAATCGCTAAAATATATGATATGTGATTAAAAATATGTATTGACACTGTATTTACCAGCTCTCAAATAAATATATATTTTAAGTTACTATGATCATTTACTAACAAATTCATTATAAAATAATAATTAGAATGTACATAAAAAATGATTTGTTTTCTTTGTTTTAAAATGTGTTTTTGTTGATGTCAAACGAAATGTGTAAAGTATTATTTTTATCATATTATAATACGTGGTTTGCTAAAATCTGAGTTCTCATAAAATATAATTATTTTCTTATAAATATAATTAGAGACTTTGCACACGACTTATACGGACTTATACGTAGTCCATACGTGTAAATCTATGCAGTAGGCGATCGCCTTTGATTTGAACGGAAATGTTGTGAAATGCAGGGGTTGTCAAATTAATTAATTTTGGTGAACGGTTATGAAGTTAAAGCACTGTGGTTCCCTCTCGTGGCAGATTACAGATCAATTCATTTTTTGTTAATTGCTTGAAAACGTACCAGCTGAGCACAGATTACAGTATACTCGTCAACCCTAAAGGCGTTTCAAGATTGTCGTAATATAAAAGAAAGTATGACTGTTGCTCCTTAGTTATATGCGTTATGATGACAGCGCCACTACAAACATTTCTTTCTCTTTCATACATCTGATATATGTACATCTAGTATGAAAGACCTCAAGACTCGGTATTATTTTCGAATGTCATTCAAACTGTGTACGGTATTAATTTTCTTAAATTTCTTTTGAAGTTATACTTCTTTTGGGACGTTTGGAAAAAATTATGAGAGTAAAATTTTTACGATGCGCGCGCACACCGACAGCCAAAAAGCGACATGATGAAGTTAGCTGATAACTGTTTGTTGCCATGGTAACCGTTGTTATTATCTGACAAATTATATATAATATTATATTCTTTCCTTAAATTATATTCTATGAATATATGATTGTAATATGCCCAATATGCTTTAATTAATTATTTTATTAATTTATCTTTCCTTTTACAAACAGAGAGTTGTGACATACGGGATGAAATCTTTAGCTGTATCTGTTACGCCAAAGTATAACTTCTTACATGCGTACAAAAGTACACACAGGTTTTTATTAAAGTGTTCCAACCAACCAATAACCAACCAATAAACCAGCTTATTGTTATATATTAGAAGACCCGAAGTAAGGTCGAACTGAAGGCTACTTTAAATGACCAAAATTACATTTTCTTTAGCTTTTGGTATGATTTTTTGCCCATCTTTTTTACTCTAAATAAATCTTATGTTGATTTTAAAGAATAAGAGAAAATAAAATGTGAGGAATATACCTACAAGTGCAAAAGTTTATTGCTTGTGAAAATCGTTGACGAATTACAGTTAGTGGAATTTGAAAATTTGGATTATGGCAAGAATCATAACAGTTATTAATTCCTAAGCAAGTAAAACTAAAATATTAATTATGTCAACGGATCAACCCTTTGACAAACACTTCATTGGACAAACTATCTTTGATATTTATTTTTTATATCTTTTAACACCTCAAGGTAAATTTCTAAGAAATCTATTGTTAACTGTAACGTCAGGGATTATTATAAGATTGTTCAATACGTTTCATCTTGTAAGCAAATGGGTGAAGAGCACATTGCTGCGGATCTTGGAATAAATATCATCAAGTTTTTAGTTGCGTCCTAGCCCTTACAACTCCGCGTTAACAAGTCGTATGCAAAGATCCTTAAGAAATGGGTTTGAAGCCAGATGACTTATTCGAAGAATCGCTGTTATAAGTTAATTGTTAGAATTTTTATCTATCGCAAAAATATTAACTTACTAAGTATAAAGTTTTGTGTTGAGTTTTTATTAAAACTCTTAATTAATAACTCCATATCGTAAAGAACTAAAGCTAGTCACGTAACACGTTGCTCTCATGCTTCATGAATTGTATAAGTGATCAGGTTCTACGAAAATATATGGAGACCTAAAAAAATTGCAAACCACAAATTTTAATAACTTATATTACCTTGTTAATTATAAACCTTTATTTGCTGTAACAGTAATACACAATTTCAAACAATATTTTTAAAATAAAATATTGCTATAATCTGTAATCCGCCTAAAATGCTAATATTCGGTACAACAATGTTATGAAGGAGCTTTGAAAATGTTACGTACATCAACACAAACAAATGTGCTTCTAACATTAATATTACGGATAGCTAAATTTTTATCACTTTGAAATTTGTACTAGGTATCTGATTTTTATTAAATATCGACGAAATTGTAGATTCATTATTCCAATAATCATTTTGGGCGTGATTATTGCTATTTAAAATGCTGTCAACTAACATTTTTTTTAATAATTAATCTATATTATACCATAAACAATTGCAATTTTTTTTAACCAATTCCTGTGTTTCGTCTCGGTTTTTCTTAAGATTAACTTTTACAGGCACTGTCTTTACACAACATATTATTCGACTTAAAACTAGTGCGGTATTTCCATACTCGTTTATTTGGGATTAGACTGACATAATCTATTTATTTAACAATTGTGCCATCTTTAGACTTACAAATATGAAGCTGGAAACTTACGTTTTTATATATCTGAAATCAAAATAAAGCGAGTCTTTTTCTTCGAATTTGATGCCCTATACCCTATTATCGCATTATACTGAATATATGTATATAACGTAAGAAGGATTTATATAGGAAATATAAAAAAAAATAGCTTTCTTATAAAATATTGTCCTATTTATAAAATGAAAAATGTCTCCAAAATATGATTTGCTTTTGATCTAAGTAATCACAAAAAAAATAATAATTTTATGTCGTTTTCTCTTTAGATGTTTAAGTTTAATGGCTAATAAAAAGAATTTGATAAGCTTTTTAGTCATAATCTCGTTGTATCGTAATTGTAACTAATATTGTCTTTAAATAAAACACATTTTTCAACACCCTGAAAGCATTCGTGCTATCTACAACAGACTGTGTAATGAGATTAATATACATTTTTTTGAAAAATTTAGTTTGTTACAGGGTGGGTACATACTAATTATTACTGTAATTGATTTATTTCTAAGATTTGTAAAAAGTTGGAAATAGCTAAAATAAAATGTATATTACTATTTATTTTCAAATTCAAATATAATCTCATACCATATCATTTTATTATATGTAACGTTATTTACAAGAGAACAATAAAATATAAAAAGTCATTTTCTAATATAATTTTTTTATTTGGCTTTATCATCGATTATAATAGAAATAAATAGATTTTGAGTGAATTTGCAAATTACATGAAAATGTACATTTTTCATTTATTTCATAAAAATATATATAAAAACAAGACGTAAGATGAGCACAGAAAGCTAAGAACAATAAGTTGAAACAATATGGTAGATCTAAGAATTGCCATACCATAATCATCAAACATCTACCTAAATGAAAATATGCATTAAATTATGCATATAATATTTACAGAATAATATATTAGTTTGATAAATTGATTCCCGTTGATATAACAGGGTCATTTTTAATTTACTGAAAACCTTTTGGGAATATACTTTATATCATAACAACAACATCTGTAACAAGAAAAAATATTTCTAAAATTTTTATTTTCATACAAAAATAAAACCTTCTAAACGGTAAAGTTCTAGCATCTCGTCAAGTTTAAAGGAGTAAGAACCGTCTCCTACACCTCTCCACCCCTATTTACCGTTTAGAAGGTGCAATAAAAATATTTTTATTTTTGTAAAATTTAAAAAATATTATTTTTTCTTTTTACAGATGGTGTTGTTTTGATGTAAATAGTATATTCCCAAAAGGTTTTCAATAAATTAAAAATGATCCTGTATATGTCTATAAAAATATAAAAATATTATTTGTAAAATAAAATTATTATTAAAACTACTCATGTGTATGCATATTTGTCTTAGGTTTAAAATTAAAAAGCCGCATAATATATGTAATCAATATATTATAAAACTTACCTTTGATTTAGATTATCTTTATTCTTAGAAAAAAACACAACTAACAAAATTGTGCCATTGATTTTTCTTATAAAAGTACTATATCTTATAAAAGTATATATCTTATAAAAGTAGTATATAGCTATGCTCTTCTGAAAATTAGTTTTTCAAAGATTCTCGAAATATTGATGCTACAAGCTTCTGCAAACTGGTGTTTTGGTACAACTGTGTTTTAAAGCCGTTCGCAACGTATTTCTGATCGGCATAGTTGTACTACAAGTACTTTATCATTTACGTGTTTTTTATCATTATTTATAATTTACTCTTAATTTTTACCAATTGAAATGACAATAATATGATAATTCCAAAAATAATAACAAATTTTAAGTATAAACTTGGACTTGGAAATTGGGCATAGAGACAATTGCTACTTCTTTATAATATTTTTTAAAGGTACAAGACAGACTGATTTCGTACAGGTTAAAGAATGATGTTATCATTTCTTAGATTTACTCGAATATTTGACATTTTAAATAAAACTATCTTTTACTGGTACTGGTAGTCTCTCCCGTGACTGTGATTTCTATAAAGCATTCGAAACGTCGGGAACCAAAAATCTAAATAAATTCGCGAAATAATCCGAAAAGATAGTTTTATTTAAAATGATGTAATCATTAAGAAATTAAATTGAGAAAGAAGCAAAAGACTTACTAAAATATCAATAAGCTGCTAAGCAAGTAGAGGAGTAGAGACAAAGTTTATTGGTGGCAGTATCCAATATCATTTGTGTCCATATTGGTACAGTGAACAACCTATCACAGGCACTCTGTTTTCTCTATTTATCCCGATAAAGCAATGTGTAAAGACAACAAAAACTTCAATATTATTTTCTTTCCTTAAAACGAAGCAAAATTATTGGGAGACCAATCATATTTCTATGATTTTATGTCATTAAAAATGTTTTGTCAGCGACAATATTTATTTGTTTTTGTGTGTGTTGTTATAGAAATTATCAGTTTAACAAACAACTCTTTGATTATATAAACTCATAAACGAAATCGTTTCGGCTGCTCTATATTAGTGAGCTTCTAAACGATTTTTTTCATTAAGAGACATTTAGTGACATTTCCACGACGAAAAATCTTTGTACATTTTCTAGATTTGTATAACGATGAACTTTTTATCTTGTATATGAAGACGTTAAAAACTGAACGATAATATTCAATTATTATATTTTAGTTTTTCAATGTTTTATATGCTAATTATATTTTTTCTAAACAAAATGTAATCGATAATTTTCAAAACATATTATGTGTCGTTAATAGATTTATAACGCTATGTTAATTATCAAGTAATTTTATCATTTATTATTATTAGTGTATGCAAAAATTGTTATGGCTTTACGCGTATAAATAGATCTAAGACGATTAAAGGTACCTTTGTAAGATTTATTTCTCAACATCAGAATGTTCGGAGCAATAAAATGATGGCTTATTTAAAAGATTTTTATTCTATATTTTTAATGCACGAAAATAATAAGAAATATCATTAGTCATGTTGATATTACATTTATTACAATAAATTACAAATTAAATAATATATTTAATACATAGCTTAAAATGTGTAGGTATATTTTAGATGCAGGAGGCATTTTTACGATTGTAATAATGAATAATATTGAGTTTTGAATTATAAATATTTTTTTAAATACTTCCATTAAATATTATTTTTGTAAGTCTTCATTGTACTATTATTACAACGAGTGTTGTACTCTGAGAATCTTAAAACCTCGTATTTGTTACTTCTATATACGTATTTCATATGAAAATATTGTAAAGTACCATTTTTTTTAAATACAATACACAGAAATTTTAATTAGATTTCAAAATATCTAAACTACTCACGACTAGATATTTAAATGTGAAGTAAAAACGTTATTCAAGCTACAATATTGGTACTTAATTTCTATATATAAATAGGGGAAATGAGTAGATTAATACGGAATGTTTACGCAGAAATACAATAAGCGCATCGATAAACCACTCAAAAATAGGTAAACCCACAAAAATAAAAAGGCACGTAACCCCTACTCACCGGCACGTCTTTTGAGAAAGAATGAATATTATTATTTTAAAATTGTTACCATAGAACCTTTTTCATTAATTATATTAGGGTCTAGTCATTCAAAATTCGTAGGTATAACACATTCTTACAGATTAAAATTGAAACAACGGGATTTTTACGATAAGGGATCATCCAAATGTTACGAAAGTCTGCTTATAAGTTTTTTTTTTAATTTTAGTGGCTGTATATTTTAGTACACTTGCCATGTTATGCTTTCGTAATATTTGACGTTTTGTAAAAAATAACCATACTCCATGGCTAATGTGCTTTGTCGTATGAGTCCTTATGCTGGTATCCACTAACATAGCCGGAGGCGTCTACGAGATCCTTTCGGCCAGCTATGCCTTTCCCTTTGCCAGTTTGGTCGAAACGTTGCTTATGAGACCCGGTGTATTTTGTTGTGTCTGTCAATCTATCAACCGCTGCCGCTGCTGCTGGCGACTTTGGCAACTGCAAATTAAAAAAAAAATTATACGTATTGCTAATTATATTTTTTATAAAGTAGTCTATTTTACCAGAATATAAAGGTAGATAAGGAAAATAACTAAATTATATTCCCTGCGACAGAATACATTTATTGCAAGTATATGTTTTATTAAAATCTAACAATACAAATGATATATTACAGTACAAGAGCATCATGACGATCATTGTTTTAAGTAACGAGCTAATAAGTGTAATAAATTTAACAATAAAAACAATAGACGGCTTAAAATAGTTTTCTAGACGTCAGTCACACAGTAATACATGAGATACTGTCTCTTGTATTATTATGTAATAATAAAGTTAACCTAACGTGAGGTCATGCTCATAACTAAATGAAACGTACGTGTGTTTTTGTATAGTCGAATTTTAATAAGTTTCACATTTAAAAAAAACATCATTATTTCGTGAAGATTTGAGAGATTTGAGGCCATAATTCATATAAGTAGGTATATAAACTTATTATAACTCCATACTGACTTCGTACTTATAACTTCTGTTTCAGTAAATAAATTTTCCCTAAAAATTGCCTTTCCTTTTAAAACTGAAATAGAAACTATATTATATGAATATTTTTTTACTAAGGTTACAGTAATAATATAAATCTATAAATGTATCTGTCTACCTATTCACGCTGTAATTCAATGGATTTGTAATTTGTCGGTAATACGGAATGGGGATAGCCAAGTATATGCTAAAATAACCCATAAGTTTTACCGAGCTACCACCAATGTGAGCAGAAACATGGGCTTAAATTATCTAGGTACATACAACGTGTTATAGTTGAGCTAAAAATGTATATCTAACTTATTCAAAGATTATTTTTGAACTACTTTTTTTTTTGAAGTGGAACTTCTTTAGAACCGTTGTGATTTGAACTCGATGAAACGGAAATGTAACACGTTAAAAAGAGAGAAACACATAAATATATAGATTCAGCCGGCGAGAGAATGAGATGTCAAATAAAATGTAAAATAACATTTCTGTGCCTCCTGTGACGAGTGATATAAGTCGAGTTGAACCCTTTTTGTTATTTTTACATAGAAATAATCAGAAAAGAATTAGGTTTTTTTTGGTCTAACTCACGTTCTTCTATCTACTATAGTTTCGGAGATAATTTTGTGCAAAGTGATATAAGTAGCAGGATTTTTGCAAAAATATCGTGAATATAGATATATTTAAAGTTGTAACCTCTATAAGTAATTGCTGCACACACTATTTTTCGTGCTTCGTGGTATAAGTGCGATTGTATTAATTTTCACATTAAATTTTTTAGTAAATTTATCGTGAATATTGATATTATTAGAGTTATATCACTTTGAACAGATTTTTCTCAATACTGATTAGGGTACAATTCAACATGTACCTACTAATCCTAATTCTGTACAAATAAACTTTTATGTGTAAACGAATATAATTTGAATTGTATCTAAAAGTCAAACCAAATCTAAATCAAAAATGTATGAAGAACAAGACGTGCTAAATGATACAAGTGCTGGGATACACCTATAAACCTTTAACTTTTGTGGTTTTGGGATTTGGTTTGGTTTGGTTTTGGGTTTTATGATGGTATACAATTTTTTTCGCGATTTTGGTGCAGTGATTTTACTTGAACTTAATCCTTCAAAAACAATTAAGATGAGCGCGTGGACTGTCAAGTGGTTAGTCGTCTTTTACGACACTCTCGGAATGTAGAGTTGGTGACTTTCAGTATTCTCAATCCGTCACCACACGGACAGTTGCAATTAGTAGTTGCCGAACTGAATCAGATAGGTGTACCTACTTACAGACATTTTTATTATCATTTCCGAAATCTCGAATTGCTAAAATTATGGATTTAGCCACTAGTCACATGGCGAACATGAGTTCACAAGACCATATTGAAGCTTAAATTGAACGAACAGAACAAAATAATAATACCAATGAAGACGGCTTTGAAAATCAAATAAGAGAACTTATTGAAGGATCGCTGCCAGTAGTAGTGAACCTATAGAAAGTCCAGCCCCTACTATCCACGAACACAAAAATTAAGAAAAATTTGCAGAGAATTTAACAGAAATGGTTATTAACAATTCCACATTGCCACACCACCTCAGAAGATGCTCTTCAACTGAACTTGACTGTGACGTGAAGCTCCGGAGTGTGTTGAGATAGCGCTGCCCAGCACTCGCCTCCGTATAAAAGGACTGGTCGGATGATGCTCTTATTTATCTGTTCCTTGAGCTTGGACGGTATTCTGCGATCACAAACCACACCTGTGACCTCCAGTTTCCCTTATATACGCTTAACCGTCGTGATCGATGCTTTCTGATTTTTTTCGATTTAACGGCTCGTTCAAGCCATATGTGGATGGTGCTGGAGTCCGGACTCCCGCAAGCCATATACTCTGTCTTCGTGACATTTAGTTTGACACCGCCGTTCTCAAGCGTACCCTTCCACAGGTTCACCCTACGCTCCAGCTCTACACGGCTCTTATCAACGAGCTATATCATCGCCATACGTCATCGGCCATAGAGGCTGGTCCTGGATGCATGCCGAGACAACATCTAGTACTGCGTTGAATAAGAACGAACAGTTTTGACCACGGAATCACCGCTTTTTTATCTAACTTTTCTGAAACTATATTAGTTCTCATTGAGAATAGTTAAGCTACATTCGTATTCTAAAATGATGGTGATAAGATCTCATATTTACCGCTCTTTAAGAGTTTTGATAAAACTGTGCTTTATTTGTAAGTAAATTATTGATTTTGAAGAAGTTTAATAAACGATGATTGTTTTTTTAAAACTTGTATTTATTTACACAATAAATATGCATTTTAGTGAGAGGTATAACTTGAGTTGTATTATTTAACACATATTTCAAAAAGCCAAGATTTTAGCAAAGTGATACAATTCAGCTAAAATATGAAAATAGGGGCCTGATAAGTAAAAAATGTCATTTTTGGGGTAGTATATTTATCATTTGTTTGAGCAACATTACGCTAGGAACATATTCCAATGAGTTATTAGATATTTTTACTTCATGTATATCAATTTACACAACGACAACTTATAGGTGCAACATAATTTAACTGTACTTGTACCATTTATCACGTAATTTTTGCATGTACTAGAAATAAAAAAAGGCACAACTCACAGGTTTTTCAATAATTACTTTAAAACTATAATATTTACCAGAAAAATTTAAATGCGCGGTGAAAGTGAATGTTTTTATCTACAAAATAAGGTACTCAAGTTTAATCTAGCCCACTTAGAACGCGAACTAGAATTTTTTAAATCTTGTTTTTGCTCTCCTGTAAAATGTAGATTTTTGACTTGTATCACTTGTCACAGGAGGCACAGATTTATACTTGGTAAAAATATTCTAAAAAAAATAAACCTTATAATTATCATACTCTTGATACTCTATATTTATCTCATTCTCTCGTAGGCTACTTTTCTGAAGTTTCACTTCTACCATGTGTTTTACCATTTTTTTATAAGTATTACTACTAAGTTAGAAAGATAAACATAACTTTCTGTTTATGCAAAGGAAATTCAGCACCTGAGCTTAAGAAAAAACTGAAAATATTAACTTACATGTGTCGACACTCCAGGTTGACCGCAAGTTGTTAATTTTTTCTTAATTTCGTCTAATTCTATCTTCTTACTCTTCGCCAAGTCCTCCAAGAACTTTTGATAATCGTCAATGCCAAGTTTTACCAATTTCAATTTTTTGAAGTGAATGGCTGTGTCTGTTGTGGTGATTTTCTTTGCGTCTATCACTTTTGCTTGTTTCATCCATTTATCACTTTGTGACAGTGTAATTTGTTTGCCATCTGATTTTGGATCCCCGAATTTGGAAAACATTTTAAAGGCATCCTGAAGAAAATAAATATTAATTTAATAATTTTTAATATTTTCTTTAATTCTTTGTTATAATTCGTTCGGGGGTAGGTATTGTAAATTGTTATACAAGTAAGTAGTAGGTAGGTAGTAGTATGCCGTGTAATTTGTATATATTATATATATATACAATTTACACGGCAATCTAGCAAGTCAATTTTTTCTATTTTTAGATTTTATTCGTGCCAGGAAGGTAAACTATGCTTTCGCGCTAGATCTTTTAATATTTGCATGTCGAGGAAAAATTAGTCAAAAACCAAGGTTAACCTTGATGCGTCAACGTGATTGCATATTGTGTTACTCTAATGCAATTTTAAAATAAAGTTAAAAATAATACAAGTAAACTTTAGCCATAACATTTTTGATCGTGAAATGTTATAATATATGTATCAAATCATCTTAATTCTACTTTTAGAGGGGTATTTCTATTCATTAAAATCTGGTTACAACTTGCAAGAGATGGATATACCGTGTAACATATCTACCTACCTATACACAAAAAACCCGAATTGAGTAACTACTTTGTTGGAGTTGCTCAGAAATAAATATGTACCTTAAAAGGGATAGCACTGTCGTCATTCTTGGTAGCTGTTCCGTTGGCTGAACCCGGGGCCGTCCCGTTCTCGAGCTTGACGTCCTTCACGTCCTGTGTCACCTGCTTGACGGCTTGCTCGTGCTCCTCTGACATGGTTACACTGGAAACATGGTTTAATAATGCTTACTTCCTTATTTACTATATTAAAACTTCTAGTTTTTGCTTGAGTAAGTTGCGTTTAGATATTATTAACTTAACTGTAATATTCTTAAAAATAGTTTTTTAACATTGCAAATTACCTATTCAATGTAATGTAAAGTGGACTCAATTTTCCGCACTTAAACTCTCATTTGGGCCGTTGTGCGTTCTGAATCCTGAATAACTTAGCCAGTCTAGCTCCGCCTATAAGCACATGAAATGCTATTCGTTAAAGGTGCGTCAATTGAGAACTGTTGAATCAATTTGGTTAATTTTGTTTTTAAAATGTTTGTAATGGTTCAATTAAATTTTGTAAAAGAAAAGTAATAGAAAAAAATCTCCGAAAATTAGGAATTTCTGGGAAATCTTAAAATTATTTCTTGTATAGGATTGTTGTTGTTAATAAGTTTAAAAAACACTTTGATTAAAATTCGAACAGAACATCTGTCGTGTTAGCTTGTTTTAAATAAAATTCCTTACATTATATTTTACTATTTTACCTTTCACTTGTAAACTTGGTCTCATCCCTTTTTCATTTAAAAAATTTTTGCAGTTTTGTTTAGCACGTTAAAATCAATCTTAGAAAGTCAAGGTAAAACTCATCAGTAAAGTTCGATATTATGATGTCATAGTAGAAACAAACCAGTCGTATATTACCTAAGCCTTATTGACAACTTAGATACTTTACGTCTTGTTTTCGCGCTAAAAGCGGCAATTACATCAGCGACCTTGTCTAAGAGTTTACTACACGTATCCGTAAATATCAGCTCAGATTTATCCTCGCCACGAACCTATCAACCTTTATGTAGTATATTTTACATATCACAATATTTCGATAACGCTGCATCTAATTAAATTCATTGTTAATCTATAACAAGGAAATTACAGTACCAACGTAATATTACTATTATATCGGTTATGACTCAAATGTCGAATATAAAGATTTTTTCATTGTTCATTTTTTAATTTATCTAGGACTCTGAACAACTCGTTTAGATTGTTTTTCCTTTGGCTTTTAGGAGTGCCAGTTAAAAAATCCTAAAAATAAACGAGTGCCAATATTTTGCCGTGTTCCATATTAGTTTCTCCTGCAAGCTTTAAATAAATCAACACTATTTTCCATCTTGAAAAGACTACCAGGTAAAAAGGGGAAAAAATGGCTAAATACGGGCTACAATCCAGTACATTATAATATTAATTACTTATATTTGCTTTACTTGTAAGCAGGATGATAAATTGAATAATAGGATCACACTTGGACAGTTTTATAGTTATCTTAGTCTTATTATAAATAAAATAAATAAATATGTTGGGACATTAACACACAGCATCACCTAGTTCCATGGTAAGCTGCGAGGCTTGTGTTATGAATACCAGATAGTTGATACACTACACATATATAACTTTAAATACATACATATTATAAATAACTTATTATTTATTAACCGACTTCAAAAACGGGATGCCCAATTACTTTAGGTATTATATTTTCTTTCTGTATGCAGGTACACATGTAATTGCCAATTGTAAACCGATTTTATAATTATTCATTACTAGGGTGAGGTATGGAACATGCCAACATAATAGAAGTACCATAAATTATTTTATAAAATCCGTATGATGGACCGTATTGGCTGATCCGTATGATCGTATGGATTTTATAAAATAAATAATATCTAAAGAAGGAATAATTTGAAATTCGGCTTATTTTTTTATTTATTCGCACAATTAGGTATTTTAATATTAGCATATGATGATCAGTCTATAATCATATTTTTTTTGTAAATAATTTCTGCTGATAAAATTCATGACACGATGATAAGATCGTTCTTGTGTCTCCTTTACATTGATAAAAGTATACTTCATATATCGCTATGTGCATACCTAATTGTAAATGCCTGAAGTTGAAAATTTCCTTTATTACAACGGTATCAATGGAAGTCATTGAAGCGTGTTACCGTAATGATATCAATCCTGTTTTAACAATCTAACCTTGGAGACAAAACAACACTAGTTAAAATAAAGAAACAATTTGTAAAAATTTACATGTGAGGGTTTGCGTTACGCCTTCGCAGTGATCGTAGGTGCCTAATATACCTAGACTAAATGATATGACCTAGACGCGTCTTAAAATATTTTAAAATGCGTCATTTTAGTTTTTTAATACCTATACCCAGTACCTATCCCATATATATATATATATATATATATATATATATATATATATATATATATATATATATATATATAAGTATATATATGAGCAATTTCGGCTACAAACAGTTCTGTGTTTTGGAGGAACGTTAGACAAGTTGCAGTGCCTAGGGTATCAATTGATTTGTATAGATATCGTCAATAGTAACGTACCTACTTTTTTATTTTTTATTATATAGAACACGTACGTGCTTAGAGACTGAAACAAGGTGTTATCATGTTACTGTACATATAGCATGAGTGTACATTAACTCTATGTATCTACCTTGCACCTGCACTTCTAGGTGACTGACAAGTTTGAAATAGCAATTAAGTAAGTGACCAGATTTACATCATTCTTACAAGTGCAAAATGACAGGTAGATACAAATTCCATAATCCAATAAGCAAGTAAAAGGTAAAAAAAATTGTAAATAATTATTATATTATTCCGCTTTTAGTGCTCCACCCCTAATTAGCCTTTTATTGTAAAAATGAGGGTGTGAACTAGGCGTTATGTCACCTCTCGACCTACTCCCCTGTTTAGTATTAGTGCAGTATCGTTCATGTGTTGTAGCCGCATCTAGTTCTACGTGAATAAAATATATTCACCACGACATATCATACTAACATTATGTAACCATAATCTATAGTTGTAGCACAGATCATATAATACTATACTAGGTTGTAGTCATTAATATGGTGAACCTATATATTCTATAATAAAGAATATTTTAAGTTCAGTAGCGCGTAAGAGGAATGGGATAATTATTGCCTTCGCTAGGTTATAGGGTTAATTCCAGTACGTGAATGTTTATATGTGGGACGTAATATCTACATGCTCTGATTTCCTTAAAAAGTCGGACGTTGAGAAACGCCAGTGCGTTTTGTTTTGACACTAATAGAAAATGAAAGTGACGTATCATATTTATAGTTATATCCATTCCTTAAATTGAAAAAAAATTAAATAAGGCATTTAATATTTAGGCATTTATAAAATTACATAATATAAGTAGGTATCTGCGTGATAAACCTGTGACAATATGTATTTATTATAGATATATGTATGGTGGAGATGATCAATTAAGGAGGCGAATAGGTGTGACCTACGTAATTGAATCAATAAAAAACTTTAAAAATACGGACCATCTAATAAAATGCTGCAATTGAATTAGGTATAGAGCTTGGGATTTCAATGTCAGCGTCAGATTTAAAATAAAAAAAAAACACCCAAGTCAATAATTCTGTTAGTACATTTTTACTTTTATCCTATTTTTTTCTCACGCAATTTCCTTTACATGATAGACTTGGAACATTATTTGCTCCACTATTAGCACTGTTGAGCTACTTCACTCTAGTCCACGACGGAACAATGTTGTTTGATCAATAGAAACATTCGCAGAAAACAAACCTATAAACTTCGGCGCAATAAACAGTGCCAGGTAGAGTTTATCCAACTGCTCCAGACTTGTACACATAATATGCTGAAATACTAATATGATGTATATTTTTACTTTTTAACTAAAAAGGTAACTTATCACTTTAAAGTTTAAAAGTAATCAATTAATCCATCTTTACAAAGGTTTTTTGTCATGAAATTTATATGGAACCATCCTTGACATAAACTATCCATTAAAAAAAGAATTATGAAAACTATCGTAATTGACTTGATTACATAAAAAATAGTTAGTAACAGTCAACGGAATGATATGACTCGTTTTTTTTAAATCTAACAGAGAAGATTAAAAGAAGAAGCAATAACGAACAGAAGATCAATGATTAACGAAATATTCAAGTGAATGATAAAAAATGTTAGGAGATGTGTCAAAATAGAATTCGTGAGGGATAGCGCGTGACCTATTCCGTAGCTGACGTCAGCCGCTTATACATACATACATACAGCTATACCCAGATATACAAACAGTACTGAGTCACCGTAGCAAAAATAAGCATATTTATATGTATGTACTTATAATTTTTATGACCTTGTTATAATAATTTTACTCATATCTGACTAGAACTGCTGATTGCTCAGAAAATCGTGGTTCTCGAAACTGGTATCGATAGAGGTATTTAGATTACAGCTTACGTCTATTACCAGAAAAAAAAGAATGGTCTTGATTTGGTTTCTATTACAGCCCTAGAAATTTGTAGGTAGGTACATAATATAATATAGAAACGTACCTACACGTATAAAAATGACATACCATAGAGGCTTACCTTCATTTATAGCATGAACTAGCATTTCCCGTGGCTCTGCCCGCGTTCAGATGACTAAAAACCAAATTCTTAGATTTTACATATTAGTATACTCTTACATTGCAGTTTTTTTATTTTTTCTCAGAAGAGAGATATTTTTCCGCGGTAAAAAGTATCCTATATGTTGATCCGGATAACCAGCTATCATCATATCAAATTTCATCAAAATCTATCCAGTGGTTTTCCCGTAATGCGGTAACAGACAGACAGACAGACAAAAAATCTAAAAACTATAGATTCGGCCTCTGTATCGATAGTAAATTTCTATTCCAATAAGATTTTCCGAAAAATATTTAATGTACAGATTCGGCTTAGTTATAATTTTATTATATGTATACATTTGAGTTTCCTATATTAACAGGCTAAACGCGTTTGTATACCTAAATGGTACAATGCCATTGCGTCATCTTAATACGTGATAGAGTCGCTGCGATAGAGCTTGTATATTTCTTTATTAATATAAATATTCATCTAGCTGTGGTCGACGTTAAAATAGCGTACAAT